ATCTCGAGGGGGGGGGGTGCAAATCGAAAATCGCTAATCTCTATAATATATAAAGCAAAGTTGTCGGGTGCCCGATAGGGCACTTCCCGGCGCCGCAGGCGCTTCAAATTTGGCAGGATCTTGCCTTGGGGCGACAGAACACGGGGGCCGGTTGGCCGAAAAGTCTACGATGAGGGGGTCAAAACTGACCTCGACTGACCGGCGCATTATATGAGTTATAAATTTAAAAAAAATGTCCACGAAGGAACCTCTACATAACTCCTGAGGTCGTAGACCGACCCTCGGGCGAATTAATTAAGCATTCAAATTCTCAATGTTTTCGAAAGCCTAAGCGAAGCTGGGCAGCATGCCTAGTAAAGAAATAATGGTCATAGGTCGCAGTGACATTGGCCCACGTTCAGAATATATTTTTACCTTTGCCGTCCTAAATTCGTCTTGATTGGAATGGTTTCTGTTGATTAAAACTTAGAGGAAATTAGCGAGGGGCAACAGGCATATGTATAGGAACTGTAAAGTAGCCGGCACATGTATGGGAACTGTAGTGTAACCGGCACATGTATGGGAACTGTAGTGTAACCGGCACATGTATGGGAACTGTAGTGTAACCGGCATATGTATAGGAACTGTAAAGTAGCCGGCACATGTATGGGAACTGTAGTGTAACCGGCACATGTATGGGAACTGTAGTGTAACCGGCACATGTATGGGAACTGTAGTGTAACCGGCACATGTATGGGAACTGTAGTATAACCGGCACATGTATGGGAACTGTAGTGTAACCGGCACATGTATGGGAACTGTAGTGTAACCGGCACATGTATGGGAACTGTAAAATAGCCGGCACATGTTTGGGAAATTGCGACCGACACATGTAGGGGAACAAGGCAACATTCACAAGTATGTGAACTAAAAGTGTTGCACTTTCCTTGGTCTTGATGAAAACAAAACTGAAGTTTCTAAACCGTTTGATTTAAAGATCTAAAAATTAAACAGAAGCTCTATGTTATAAATTGTTGATACCAGACCAGATCTTTCTGAAGCTGAGCGTATATATTTTGTTTGCTGTTTTGTAGAATCGTTTTGCTTTCAATTCGTAGTTAAAAATTATTTTTCTCACTGCATTTAACTTTCATAAAAAAGGCGAATGAAATAAACGCAAATCCATTTTAAGACAATGGATTTTAAATCTTTTCAAAAATAACTTTTTACTCATTATCATAGAAAAATAACCTTATCAATACGGACAATGACATCAAAATAACGCTTACTAAAAGTATATCGCATTTCGAGAGTTTATTAAGATCAGCAAGGTTTTCTACTTGAAAAGTAGTAAATAAATATCAAGTTAAAAAGTACTCTAGCTGTGTCAAGTCGTCAAGTTCAACAGATTAACACGAATCTCGCCTGCCACTCAACTCGAATAGTCCATCCCTTCTTGTCAGTACCCATCCCATGACATATAGAGCGGGGGGGGGGGGGTGTTAAGACGGGTTAAGAAATATAAATACCCAGCTAATGCCGATTAGGGGATGGCGAGAGTTCACACTCTCGGGCAACTGCTACCACCAAACAACTGCTACCACCAAACAACTGCATCCACCAAACAACTGCTACCACAAAACAACTGCTACCACCAAACAACTGCTACCACCAAACAACTGCTACCACCAAACAACAGCTACCACCAAACAAGTGCTACCACCAAACAACTGCTACCACCAACAGCTACCACCAAACAAGTGCTACCACCAAACAACTGCTACCACCAACAGCTACCACCAAACAACTGCTACCACCAAACAACTGCTACCACCAAACAACTGCTACCACCAAACAACTGCTACCACCAAACAACTGCTACCACCAAACAACAGCTACCACCAAACAACAACTACCATAAATCAACTGCTACCACCTAACAACTGCTACCACCAAACAACTGCTACCACCAAACAACTGCTACCACCAAACAACTGCTACCACCAAACAACTGCTACCACCAAACAACTGCTACCACCAAACAACTGCTACCACCAAACAACAGCTACCACCAAACAACTGCTACCACCAAACAACCGCTACCACCAAACAAGTGCTACCACCAAACAACTGCTACCACCAAACAACTGCTACCACCAGACAACTGCTACCACCAAACAACTGCTACCACCAACAGCTACCACCAAACAACTGCTACCACCAAACAACTGCTAACACCAAACAACTGCTACCACCAAACAACTGCTACCACCAAACAACTGCTACCACCAAACAACTACTACCACCAAACAACTGCTACCACCAAACAACTGCTACCACAAAACAACTGCTACCACCAAACAACTGCTACCACCAAACAACTGCTACCACCAAACAACTGCTACCACCAAACAACTGCTACCACCAAACAACAGCAACCACCAAACAACAACTACCATAAATCAACTGCTACCACCTAACAACTGCTACCACCAAACAACTGCTACCACCAAACAACTGCTACCACCAAACAACTGCTACCACCAAACAACTGCTACCACCAAACAACTGCTACCACCAACAGCTACCACCAAACAACTGCTACCACCAAACAACTGCTACCACCAAACAACAGCTACCACCAAACAACAGCTACCACCAAACAACAGCTACCACCAAACAACAACTACCATAAATCAACTGCTACCACCTAACAACTGCTACCACCAAACAACTGCTACCACCAAACAACAGCTACCACCAAACAACAACTACCATAAATCAACTGCTACCACCTAACAACTGCTACCACCAAACAACTGCTACCACCAAACAACTGCTACCACCAAACAACTGCTACCACCAAACAACTGCTACCACCAAACAACTGCTACCACCAACAGCTACCACCAAACATTTGCTACCACCAAACAACTGCTACCACCAAACAACTGCTACCACCAAACAACAGCTACCACCAAACAACAACTACCATAAATCAACTGCTACCACCTAACAACGGCTACCACCAAACAACTGCTACCACCAAACAACTGCTACCACCAAACAACTGCTACCACCAAACAACTGCTACCACCTAACAACTGCTACCACCAAACAACTGCTACCACCAACTGCTGCCTTGTAGTTTGTTCTTGGTTGGACAAAGGCAATGGAAGCAAATCCAAAAAGAAAAGCAGGCTGAAATCGGAGTCAATGGCCTCAATGGCGCATAACCAGTTGACACGTATACTTAATTGTGCTGAAGGGAGTCTCTTCCAACACAAGAAGTAAGAACGAAGAAGAAGAAAGTAATGTCGATTAGCAACATTAAAAATAACAGTAGGCCTACATACTGTTTAGTTTGATTTGCCATATGTAATTTTTATTTATGTATCAGTTTCCATTTCATTTGTAGTGTCAAAAAATATGCGCAGATTTTTTTTTTTCGCGGCGTGAAAGCGGACACACGATAGTCCAAGCTTCCTTTGTAAAAATAACAATGTGTGTAATAATACATTCATTCCCTATTCCTTCGCCACAGAGAAAGATGATACATATTTATTTCCGCTGTCTGTGTAGTAATCAAAGCGATCAAAAGACGCAAACACGCCCTGTAGCGACGCCGTTTGTCATGCTAATACCAGGGGATGCAAGAATTATTTTTTTCATGTCAATACCAGGGGATGCAAGAATGATTGATCGATGTTTATTAACATTTGTTGTTGATACATAGGCAAATTTTATACACACATATTTTACAAGCTTTTACATGTATCTTGTAACTTATGCATAGGGGAAAAATTAAAACAATATTAGAAATCTCTGTGCTAGTTAGGTAATTTAATTAAATCTTTTAAGTAAAGCAGCCCATTTTTAAAAAAATTAATATTTTTAACTATCATATTTTTTTAAGTAAAGCATTTTATTTTTAAATTTAAGTATCTTAAATCTTTCAAGACGCTGTGTCCTCTTTTTATGAAATTTTATACCTTGTGCAAAAAATTTCCTTTTTTATCTAGTGGTATCTCTGTGATTTTCTAATCACCGCGTGATTTAGTATGACCAGTTTTGTTTTGTTTACTCACGTGTACACAGATCGACTCTCTTTAGGCTGAGGCTGTAATGACCAGTCCACCTCCACCGTCATTAGCTCGTCTCAGACTGACAACACTGTATCGACCAGCTCCATTCATCTCAACACCCCCCGCCCCCTCCCCCGACCCATACCCCTGACCCAGACAACGATTTCTAGTTTTTAGAGAGAAAAAAATACCCCCCCCCCCCCCATTAAGACTAGCTGGGGCAGCAAGTGCTGGCTGCCTGGTTGCGAAATGGCTGAAGCTAATGGCCGTTGTCGTGCCTGCCTCTATCCCCAGCAGTGATTGCTATTTTTAACTGCATTGTCACGTGAACTGACCCCTCAGTTTTGATTGGATAAAGTATCACGTACGGGATTTCCCGGTTCGGCCGTGGTTATATGTGTGATGGGACGTTTCGTTTTTAACCACACGTGAAAAGATGTCATAATGGTAACCTTATGGTTCTGTGGTTCTTTCAGGTATTTTTTTCTCCGAAGGGTGGGGGGGCACTTAAAACTTGGGGGGGGGGGGGGGTTTGGACATATTACCCGGGGGTGGGGGAACGACGGACACAAGTTGAAGTATTAATTTTGTATATTAATTCCATTATTTTTGGAAAGGGGGGGGGGTAGTATTCGAGCGCCCCCCCCCCCCCCCCCCCCCATTCCTATAAAACCCCTGAAAGAAACTCTGCCATTGTCACCCACTGAGTAAATGCATTCACACGGCTTAAGCAGGATTCTTGACTTTTAAAAATTAAAAACTTCAAAAAGAAAAAGAAAAAAAACAGGAATCACGAGTTTAACATGTGCTAAGAAAGTTTTTAAGAGCATTGTATTTAGAAGAAATTTAAGACATTTTTTCAAGACATTTTATATTCAAGGAATTTGAAGACACATATAAGACAGCTATTTTAAGACAGTTTTTTTTCTCTTACAGAGTGCACGTCGAGTTCTTCACCAACGAGAAGTCCCTGAAAGAAAGACTGCAGCTGTACTTTGTCAAGAATCAAAGATCGAGTAAGTCTCTTTGTTGTCGCTCCACTTTGTTTCACGTGTAACAAAGTCTATTCGTTAAGTCAAACAAAGATCGAGTAAGTCTCTTTGTTTTCTCTTTACTTACTTTCAAGTTTAACAAAATCTCTTTGTTACATTATTCAAAGATCGAGTAAGTCTCTTTGTTGTCTCTCCACTTTGTTTCACGTGTAACAAAATCTGTTTGTTAAAAAAAACAAAGCAAACACAAGATTTATGATTATCTTTAGTTAGAAATAAAATATAACCATGAGCTCACAAGATATTTCACAGAATTATTTGGTTTTTGTTTCGTTTTTTTTTTGTTCTTTTTGTGTGTTTTGGAATTGGGGATGTTATTTGTATTTTATTTAGCGAGTGTAAAATATATTCTTTTGGATTTCCTATCCTTGGAGACATGTAATGAATATATTTGCTTTTATTATTCGATTCTAGCACACTCTCGTCTTTAGTGGGGTACGTGAAGATACGGGAGTGAGTTGCTTGCGTTCATCAATGACCCCCCCCCCCACCCCACCCCCGGGTATAACGCCATGTCATTAGTTCCAAATCAATTACTTCTATACATTTATCCCCATGGTAACTACCTCCCTATGTGGAACTCTTAACATACCCATGTTACCAGTAAAGTGATAAAACTTTAATTTTAGTCTATACCTGTGCTGAAAATGGAAATCTTCCTAGCCAAAACATTACATTACGATTTGGGTTAGGTTTATGTTTAAGGTCCATTTGAGGTACCATTTTAGGGACGGCAGGCAATGTACAGACTATATTATATCAATGTATAGACTATATATTATAATATAAATATACAGACTATATAATATCAATATACAGACTATATAATATCAACATACAGACTATATAATATCAATATACAGACTATATAATATCATTATACAGAGTAGGCTATAATATCAAATATTTATGTATACACTGTATACCAAGTGTGCTCTACGTACCCATGTTTTCCTTACTTTCAGGTTTACGTATCCGTATCTTCCTTACTTTTAGGTTTACGTATCCGTATTTTGCTTACTTTCAGGTTTACGTATTCGTATCTTCCTTACTTTTAGGTTTACGTATCCGTATTTTCCTTACTTTCAGGTTTACGTATCCGTATTTTCAACCTGGTCATCAAGTTGTTGACGTGTGTGCTGTATGTTGTGCGAGTTTATATGGACGAGTCATATGTGGGGTAAGTCAACAGTTGTATGTGGGGTAAGTGTAGACTTGTATGTGGGGTAAGTCAAGAGTAGTTTGTGGGGTAAGTCAAGAGTAGTGTGTGGAATAATTCTAGACTCGTATGTGGGGTAAGTCTAGACTCGTATGTGGGGTAAGTCTAGACTCGTATGTGGGGTAAGTCTCGACTCGTATGTGGGGTAAGTCTAGACTCGTATGTGGGGTAAGTCTAGACTCGTAGGTGGGGTAAGTCTCGACTCGTATGTGGGGTAAGTCTAGACTCGTATGTGGGGTAAGTCTACACTCGTATGTGGGGAAAGTCAAAAGGTATATCAGGAAAGCCAAAACTATTATGTAGGATGAGTCTAGACTCGTGAATTGGGGGTAAGTATAGACTCGTATGTGGGGTAAGTCTACACTCGTATGTGGGGTAAGTCTAAAGGTATATGAGGAAAGCCAAAACTATTATGTGGGGTGAGTCTAGACTCGTGAATTGGGGGTAAGTATAGACTCGTATGTGGGGTGAGTCTAGACTTTATTAATTCTAAGATAGGCGTTATCAGACGTACATGGACTCTCGGAGCACTTTCATTAGTTAATGTAAAGCTTTTTCAACAATCTAGCTAATAAACCCCATAATCGCCACTAAGGTTGGCATTTTATGATCCCCCAGCCCTATACTACTAGAACTATTTTTATCGAATTAATCACGTGGTGTGTGTGTGTAGAGTTTTGATTGGTTGCATGTGTTGATCCACAGAGACAATGATATGTATAACGGCACCACAGCTAAACACAGACGGAAAGACTCGGCTGATTTTCATGAGGACCCACAGGTCAACTGGTAAGTGGGGGGGGGGGGGGGGAGGTCCTATCTCTAGCGGTAGAGCGCTAGACTGTGATCCGAAAGCCTCGAGTTCAAATCCGGGTTCAAGTAAATAGAACGTCCCTGAGTTCACCCAGTTCTAATGGCTACCTAACTTAAGGAAAGTTAAGGCGGCTGGGCATAGTGCTGACCACACCATTCCTTCATATGCCAAGGTCATAGAAACAGGTGAACTCTACTTCGCGTGCCCCATGGACCGTTAGTTTCAAAAAGGGAATTTTATTTAAGTCCATCCCCTAATATACATACAAATACTTTAACCCCCCCCCCCCACCACCACCACCATCTCCACCTCATGGAGGTCAAGGTGTTTCTTTAAATGCTGGGATGGGGGAGGATGAACTGAAGTGACGAGGCCCAGCTTATAAAGTTTTTAAAAATTAACGTTTAGCCATCATTTCCCTTTTTTTTTGGTGTAAATTGAAATAATAATTTATTCATATGCTGACCGAGCCCAGTTAATAATGTATTAAGAAATCGCTTATGCGGATGGTGTTTTGTGTCTGACCTTGACCTTACGTGTGCTGTGTCTGACATTGACCTTACGTGTGTTGTGTCTGACCTTGACCTTACGTGTGCTGTGTCTGACCTTGACCTTACGTGTGCTGTGTCTGACCTTGACCTTACGTGGGCTGTGTCTGACACAGGGAGGCCATCATCTGGGTGGAGCACCACCAGGGCGTGTGGATCTGTCAGGTGACTGTTGCTATTATTAGCCTGACGGAAACCATGCTGGTCCAGTACCTGAGCTATAAGGTGGGAGCTGCACCATCACCATCTCACTACCATCACAGCCACCACCATCATAGTCACTACCAGTATAGGCACTACCATCACCATCTCACTACCATCATAGCCACTACCATCATAGCCACTATCATCACCATCTCACTACCATCACCATCTCACTACCACCATCTACTACCATCACAGTCACTACCATCATAGCTATTACCATTACCATCTCACTACCATCGAAGTCACTACCATCATAGCCACCACCATCACAGCCACTACCATCACAGCCACTACCATCACAGCCACTACCATCATATCCACTACCATCATAGCCACTACCATCAAAATCACCACCACCATGATCGCCACCACCATCATCGCCACCACCATCATTGCCACCACCATCATTGCCACCACCATCATCGCCTTCACCATCATTGCAGCTACCTTCACTGTCGCCACCATTGCAGTCACTAAAATCTCATAAAATTTGTCAACATAAGGCCCTGCTGTTTTCCTACCATATAACATTATCTCCACCCCCCCTCCCAATGCCTCATTACGTCACACACAGTACATTCTAGACCAAATTTATATCCTTACCCAAAACTCATTTCATCTATCATTCACCCTTTCCCAACCCCCATCATTTTATCATGATGTTCTGTGTGGGATCCGAACCTACACCTTTCCATTCTACCAGGGTAACATCCTGCAGCAAGTTCTGTCTCTAGAGCTTCTCACAGAGATCATCACAACAGTGCCATTTATTTTTACTGTAAGTCTCTAAAACAGTGCCATTTATTTTTACTGTAAGTCTCTAAAACAGTGCCATTTATTGTTACTGTAAGTCTCTAAAACAGTGCCATTTATTTTTACTGTAAGTCTCAAGGGTCACACCGCTAACGCTTTTTAAAACCGGCTGCTTTTTTTTACTAAGAAATAAACAATGTTAGAGGTAATGACATAGGAATGGGCTCAATCTTCTCCTCAAAACTGTCTGATATATATATATATATATATATATATATATATATATATATATATATATATATATATATATATATATATATATATATATATATATATATATATATATATACAAGGACGTGGGTGTGTACGTTTCACTTGTACTATCTGTATGCAAGCAAGGACTTTAGACCCCTGAGAATACTTGCCTGAAGCCGCCAATAATTATTGTAAAGTCTAGAATTTAATGATGTCAGACCTAATGTGACCAACGTTGTATTGATTTAAACGTCGTACTGAATGTCATGCTGTTTACCTGGTACAACATTGCGTCATGTTTGTTTTGTTTCAGATCATCCAACCACTTCGTCATTTATTTATTCCCGTGTTTCTCAACTGTTGGCTCGCCAAGAACGCCATGCAAAATATGTTTGTAAGTCATTTCTTTACATTACCAGCATGTAGAATATGTTTGTAAGTCATTCCTCTACCTTACCAGCATACACAATAAAGCTGCAACATTAAAATAAACCTCAGTGGTAAAAGATAATGGAGGAAATGACAAGCTGTATACCTACACCATCAAGACACTACTGAACGTCATCATACAATCTTATAAAACACAAACATGTTTGTCTTCTTCTATTATTATGCCGAAAGTATTATTTCATTGTGTTTGTGATTTGCTAGTTAGCAATGAAAAACTTGACGGTCGAATGATAGAGCGTTTGGCTTCTAGTCCAAAAGTCCCGAGTTCGGATCTCGGTTCGGACTTGTGACTGTAGGACTTCCTGAGTCCACCCAGCTCTATTGAGTACTTGGCTTACCTGTGGGGAAAGTAAAGGTAGCTGGGCATAGTGCTGACCACGCTATCCCTTAATATGCCGAGGTCAAGGAACATATAGCCTTTACTTCATCAGCCCAAACAGATCGCTAGGTCTAAAGAGAAACATCACAACTTAGGGGAAACAACTTCGATGTTGGTCCCTTTGTTTTGATCAAATAGAGACGAAAGAAAAACAAAAGGGCGGTAAATCTGGACAATTGTTTAGAGTTCCCTCCCTTTTTTTTTTGTTTTTGCTTGCTGTTTGGATAAAGATTGACGGTGTGGGGATGATGTGGGAAGAAATCGTTAGACGGAGATGAATGGAATAATTAAATCTGACAGAGTTCCGTCTTGCTGTACGAAATAATTAACAACACCAGATCGTTCCAGCGAGATAAAGTTTTAATGTGTGGAAAGGGCGTAGATGGGAGGGAGGGAGGGAGTTGATTAACTTTTTTTTCCAGTAAATGACGTCATCAAACTGTTTTCTTTTTTTTTCCCCCGCAAAAAAAAAAAACCAAAAAAAAAAAACCAAAAACAGAACGATCTTCACCGTGTTATGCAACGATCCCAGTCGGCCTTGGCCCAACAACTTTTGGTACTTGGTGCTACCTTGATGTGTCTGGTATTTATAGGGTAAGTGTATCTGGTATTTAGGGGTCATCCATAAATGACGACACGCCTTTTTTGAAGATGTTTAACTTCCCCCCTCCCTCCGTCACACCCCAGCCTAACCCCCCCCCCCCCCTCCCTCAAAATTGCAGTTGAATTTTTCTTAAAATACGATATTTTCCCGACATCTTGTCTGAACTCAGTCAACATAGAGTATTTTAATCAATTTCTATTGCAATTCATTAAAACAGTTTTCTAAAACGCGAAATAACGGCTAAAATTCGTTTTCTAACATTGTTTTTTTATAATGCAAAAGTGTGACGTCACACTATCTGAACAACCCCCCCCCCCCATCATCACACACCGTCACAAAATCACGGACCCCCCTCCCCCTACGAGTGTGACGTCATTTTTGGACGACCCTTAGATCTATATGGTGTCTTGTATTTATATAGTAAGTTTGTCTGGTAGTTATACGGTAAGTTTAAGGTGTGTTTTTCTATATTTTATAAAGTAAATTTAACTGTTTCTCATATGGGAAGTTTGTCTAGTATTATTTATAAAGCATGTTTTATGGTATTTATAGTGTAACTTTGTATGGTATTTATAAGTCAAGTTTCATGGTATTTAGAGGGTTTAATGGTATTGATAGGTAAGTTGTATGAAGTACGTATTATGTATACTAAGTTTGTATGCTATTTATAGGGTCAATTTGTGTGTTACCATGATGGTCGTGGTAAGTGTTGTATGTCGGCGACTTTGGTATAGGTTTTAAAAGATCTCGCTTCAAACGCACAAAAAGACACGTTAACCCTTTAGTCGTTGGTCATAGATCTACTTACCGCAAGACAGTTCAAAGTGTGAACACTGCTGTAGCAAAACCCCAGAGGTCACGTGGAAGCTAAACATCATCTGATTGGCTAGACCTGTTGATGTTGAAACTAACAGGACATTTCGTCGGTAATTCTTCTCGTCAGGCGCTTTCCCCACCGCCCACTGCTGTGACTTTTAATAACAAAGACACCAGCACCCATTTACTAGGCGTGGGGAGGGGGGTGTAAATTCCCTTAAACCTAAAAATCGATTCTCTATTTTCTGTATTCATGAAATAGTAACGGGTTTAATAGGGATGAACCGGCTGATTTCGTATGGTCTTGCTGGTTTTGTTTTGTCTTTTGTCAGATGATAGAAATTTAAAAAAAAATTATTTTTTTTTTTTGGAAATAGGGAAAAATGAAATTTTGTAAAATAATCAATATTTTCAAAGCGGTAAAAAGAATTCGTTTTAAAAATCGTTTCGGAACTTTGGAATGGTTTTTTTTAAAAATCTATTTTTAGAGACGACATTGTTATGTTGGAGTCGAAAAAAAAATCTGGCCAGTCATTTTTTTTATATAAATAGATTTTCTTAATGCGCGAATGATGGTTGTGTTAGCTTCAAGTCTTTAGTGCTCGGTTCACAGATTAAGTTGGGCTCTTTCGCTTGAGCTATAGTATACACATTCCCACTCCCTCAATCTATCCATCCCTCTCTCTCTCACTCCCTCTCCCCTCACGTCATCCCTCTCTTTCACTCTTCTCCCCAATCACTCCATCCATCCCATCGGTAAAGCTCATGGTTGCTAAACCGAAAAGTCTCGAGCTCGAGCCCTCGGGCAGATGAGGCTCGTTGGCTGGGGACAGCCACTCTTCTAGGAGAGACAACTCCAAAATTAAACAATTGCTGCCTTGTAGTTTGTTCTTGGTTGGACAAAGGCTATGGAAGCAAATCCAAAAAGAAAAGCAGGCTGAAATCGGAGTCAATGGTCTCAATGGCGCATAACTAGTTGACACGCAATCCTTAATTGTAATGGAAGCATGGTCGAGTCGGCAAAGCTCATGGTTGATAAATTCGAAAAAAAGTCTCGATTTCAAACCCTCTGGCAGATAAGGCTCGATCCCTCCCAACACTAAAAATTAAGAACGAAGAAGAAGAAGAAGAATTCACTCACTCACTCAACCCTCCCTGTGCCTAAAACTTCTTGAAAAGACATCTTTTCTCTGAGCCAGTGTTTTCAACCTATCTAGTCTAAAACCTGTTCGACATATCTAGTCAAAAACCTGTTCAACAAATCTAGTCTAAAACCTGTTCGACATATCTAGTCTAAAACCTGTTCGACATATCTAGTCTAAAACCTGTTCGACATATCTAGTCTAAAACCTGTTCAACAAACCTAGTCTAAAACCTGTTCGACGTATCTAGTCTAAAACCTGTAGACATATCTAGTCTAAAACCATTTTCCAGCATCTGCTAGCTTTCAATTAGTTTTCTAAGCTCTAAAATGAATATATTTGGCTTATCAAGTTCTCCTAGCAATTTCATTTCACCGCAGGCTACAACAAGCAGGAACTCACCATAAAACAACCTCAGGGTTGGACAGGGTTGAGCCACCAGCGGGTTGGCGTCTGGCACGAGTCCCTGGTCTAATCAAATTTGGTTTTTGGCTGGCACCACGTCGAGTGGACAAATTACCCGCCACACCCGGTTAGTGCCCGGTACGGCTATCTCCAGACCTGCTGCCCTACCAAAACACGGACAAAAAATAAAAAATTCGACACTTTAAGATTCCGTTGGGTTACATTACATTTTTTTTAAAACTAAAAAGACTTTTTTTAAAATATGTTGTAATAAACGGAACAAATGATGTTACAATTTTAGCTGTCCCTCAGACTTTCTTGCTAAAGCTGTCAATTTTATGAAATCTGAAAATATAATCGCATGTGACATCACGTCTTTGAAATCTGAAAATATAATAACGTCTTAGCTACCCCAGGCTTTCTGGCCATACAATATATATATATATATATATATATATATATATATATATATATATATATATATATATATATATATATATATATATATATATATATTGTGTGTGTGAGAGAGAGAGAGAGAGTGTGTGTGTGAGTATAAGTGTAAATGTGAATGTTATATGTCTATCGCCTAGTTGTTTTATGGCTCCTGATGTTTGTTTCGTTAACTCTCCGTTTAAAACAGTTTTTAACTGTTCTTCAATAGCGAAATAAAGAAAATAAATGGTTCAATGCAGGGAATAGTATACGCCTACACTCCTGCTTTCAATAATTTATGTACGTTTCTAGTGATAAATTTCTAATATACTCTCTAGAGCTACAGTTTTAAAATATCACGGTATATGGAAACAAAATGGATCAATACTAAATTAAAAATTCGGCTTTTTTCTTTTTATATTACAAATTAATTTTTTTTTTAGTTTTGTCTGGTACTTTATATGTGGTCACACCTGAAGCAATTTTGAGAAACCCAAGATCAAGATAATAGAACTCATGACAATAAAATTGTCTTTCCTTCTGTTGAAAAGTGTTGTTTTATCCACAAGTAAAAGTTTTAATTAATTAATTTGTTGATTTAAAGTTCAACTGTTTGTTCTCAAATGATTTGAGAATAAAAAAATAAAAGTTGAAACTTGTTTTGTAAACAATTAAAAATTTTACCAGAAATTAATGGTTTTAACACCCGCAAACAAAAAAAAATCGACATCAACATAAAATTGGAAATTTTTTGTCGAACAGAGACATGACTGAATCAAATATTAAGTAGTTCAAACATTTGGCGTCATTAGAGGTGTTGCAATGAACAAGTCTGCGATTTCCAATGTAAAATTTAAATTTAAAAAAAAAAGCCTTGAGACATGGAACTGATGGACCCCCCCCCTACCCCCCCCCCCCCCATTCCCCGGTAGAAATAGTAAAAAAAATATAATTTATGTCGAAAATGAAATATATACTTTAACCAGTGTCCGCCCTCTCTCGTAAGGTTCAGAGTTTCAAGCCCCTCCCCCCCCCCCCCTGACAAAAAATGTCTGGAAAAAAGTCCTGATACCCTAGACCTTTGTCAAGCCCATTCGCGAATGTAGCTAAACAGGTTCTGATTGAATTTGAAGTAGAGCACAAAGTAACGATTGACTGGGGGAATACACAAATAAAACTTTAAAAAAAAAATTAACTAGTGTTTACTAAGTAAGTTAAGTTCCTCTTTGGATCTAGTGATCCATTAAGCAGATGAAATAGAGTTCATATGTTTCTTGACATGCGTTAAGTCAGCACTATGCCCAGCCGCCTTTACTTTCCTCAACAAGCCGGGTACCAGTCACAGCTGGGTAGACTCATGGACGTCATATACTCCCGTCCGAACTGAGATCCGAACTCGAGACCTTCGGGTTAGCAACCAAACGAACTAGCGTTTAGAATTACTGTCAAACAGCTACCATGTACGTTATCTTCAATATCGGGGATTCCCGATCTGAACAAAGAAAATGGGGTGTAGAGGTGCGGGTTCGAATCGCGAATTTATTGAAGAAAGATAGATGCTATTACGTTAGGCATAATTTTTTTGTCACTCGTTCATTGTGTTTTGTGCGGAGTCGAAGTTTTAATTTATCAAGAAGAGGTAGAATCTAGTATGGGAACATGCTACAATTAATGCTATAACATTTTTTTTTAAATAAAAGAAAATAATAAAAAATAATTAATACAGTTGTGTTGATGTTTGTTTACAACATTTTAGACAAGATTCTTTTACGTTAAATCCGGTCCTGTTCGCCAATCAATTTTTTTTCTACTAAAATCGATCCCATAGCCCGTAATGCTACATCTGTTTTCGATTCTCAGTCCCTGACACCCACAAGTAATATAAGGTGTCGTGTTGAACTTTTGACCTTCTGAAGAGCGGAATGATTTAGGAGTTGTTTCCCTTCCCGCGCGACTCTCCTTTTCAAGGTTCATATTCTGGTCAGTGGGGAAAAGTTTCAGATATTTTATCGATTATTTTGTACTCAGCAAGGCCGCTGAAGTTGTTGTTCCCTTTCTCTTGAATTCGTGTCCTTTCAACTGGTTTAGCTGTATTAAAAATTAATTCAAAAGTTATGTTTTGGTCCGATGTCTCTCTTTACAGTGCAATCTGTATATTCCTTTGTCTGGCTTTACATAGAAGTGATATGTAGAGTTATAATAGGGTAACGAACAGTGTTTATTCTAGACTTTTTTCCTCCGGGAGGGGAGGGGTCACTTGAAATTTTCGGAAGGAGGGGGGGGGGGGGGGCTAAAATTTCCGGGTGGGGGGGGGGGGGGGAGGCGCGGACACTGTTAAAAGTCTATATTTTCTATATGAATTCCATTTCGTTCAAGGTGGGGGTAGACGAAGAGAGACCTGGAAGAAATTCTGCTAACGAACAAAATGGTCTCTATCCTATAAAATCCTATAAAATCTACCACACATAATTATATATATATATATATATATATATATATATATATATATATATATATATATATATATATATATATATATATATATATATATATATATATATATATATATATATATATATATATATATATATATAAATGTATATATAAGAGTTTTTGCGGGTGAGCTCTTTTTTCTACATCTGGTTCTATAGTTCTACAGATATGACATCCGCTCCTTCAGCTATTGTCAAATTACATATCTTTAGCTCAATGTATTGTAACCTTTCCAGGTTTGTGAGGTGTTCAGTCCTTGTAGTTGCCCGTCTTTTAAAAGCAAAGATGTAAAAACCTAGTTTTCATCTAGAAAATGTGTGTGTAAAATTAATAAAAGCTTTACAAATGTAAATAAACATGAACGACTTATAAGATGATTGCTACTTTTAACCTTTTAGAAACTAGCTCTAAACTAGTCTTAACTTAGAAAGGCATTGTTTTATTTATAATTAGGACCAATGGTACTTTTTACTTTCCATCACACGGTACGCATTAGATGACTAGAACTATAAACAAACCGATTTCTGCTTCACGTTTGTAGGTGGCGAAGTTAACCAAAAAAAACTTATTTAATAATGAAGTAGTGTGATTTTGTCAGCATCTTAGTCCGGTTTAAACAAGAGACGCGTTTCCTCTACAGCAGCGCAGTTAGAAAGACAGCCTAATAGTAATACAGTGTCGAACAGTGACAAAAACACAGAATTTGACTTGCCGCTTCTCTTTTACGAATCAACTCCACTATTTTTTTGTCAGTATAAAAAATGTCATCATCATGAATTATTTCAACATGTTCCCGCGATTTTCTGTTGGTCAGGTCAGGTTAAGCGAAATGAAGGTCGGGTGGTTTGAATTGCACTCCTATAGGGATTGCCTACCTCTGCCCTATTCATTGTTCTATCATACAGAATTATTTTTTTTAAGTGTGGACACATTATAGTTTCTAAAAGATGTAAACACTGCAGTTGTTACCCTTTGTTTTGATACTAAGTTCGACCATGAACATATATAGGTAGTTTAAAAATGTGTAGTGGGACGGCGTGGTCGGATGGTAGAGCATACGACTTCTAACCGTTAATTCTCGAGTTTGAATCCCAGGTTTGTGTCAGTAGCACATCCTTGAGTCCGGCTGTGGATAGTGCTGACCACTCTATCCGTTCATCATATACCGAGGTCATTAAAGTAGGCGAATTATACGTCATCCGCCTAATTGACTGTCCGTTTCAAAATGGTACAAATGTGTAATCTAAAGTTTAATATTAAAATAATTTAATTTAAAGTTGATATTATTTTAGGAGGTTATTTCTTAATTTTATTTTAAAATTGACCATGTGATTAAGTTTTGTATTTGATATTAATTTAACTAGAATTTCTATTGATGTGAAGTTCTTGTCCTTTCAATACTCTTTAACATTTCTGAAACAATTTAATGTTGTTTTTATACTTTTTTCTCAGGGCTTGCGGCGTCCATCATCTTCAAAGGGGAGGTAACCACCACTTTGGTGCGTTTGAGTCCCTTTGGTTCGTCGTGGTAACTTTCTCTACCGTTGGTTTCGGTGATGTCTACCCGGATATTTGGCCCAGCCAACTTTTTATGTTGCTCATGATTTGCTTCGCTCTCATTATACTCCCCACACAGGTAGGTCATCTACACTAAGGGCCATCATACACACGCACGCACAACACACTGACATAAACTGAAACATACACACACACACAGTGGCGTCGCTAGGTCGGGTGTCACCCGGTGCGGCACCTTATGGTGTCACTCCCCCACCACCCCCCCCCCCCCCCCACCCCCAACGCCAAAGGAAAAAAAATATAGGCTATATATATATGTATGCAAATGCATACGTAGGCCTACATATATAGTTGCTATTGGTGACACCTCCCTCCGATTTTGCCAAATGGTGTCAATTTTTGTACATATTATTTTAATCCACCTATATATTTTGCAGTTGGTGTCATCTCCCCCCCCCCCCGCCATTGTTATAGCTTTAACGTTTTCAGTTATTACTAACGATATTTTTCTAAAGTCGGTTATTAGCTAAGACAGCTGGGTGTAACATTGTTTTCTCTACAGTTTGCATGTTTAGGTCGTGGTGTCACCACTCCTCCCCTTGTCGGGATCGTCAGTTTGTACTTAAAATACTTTAACCGCTAATTAACCATTCATTGAACTGGCAAAAAGCTTACTTATTCTATAAATTTCTCTATTTTTGTATTAGTGTCACACTCCCCTTAAATCGTGTCACCCGGTGCGGTCCGCACCCCGCCTCGCGACGTCTCTGCACACACACTCATATATATATATATATATATATATATATATATATATATATATATATATATATATATATATATATATATATATATATATATATATATATATATAATAAAAATATAGGTAAAGGAGGTTAAGTTACAGCTATTAGTGAAGGTACACGAATGTATGGTAGGGGCAGCAACTCTCAAATCATCATATGCGCCTGCTTAAAGTGACACAATGCAAGCATATAAGCATTACAAAATGATAAGAGATGTGGGCTACAACACCCATAACCCAGAATTTGACTGACATAGATTTTTATTTTACTATTACTTGTATGTTATCAAGTGTCTAACCCTTTGCTCCGAAATGCTGCTTATGATACTTTAAAATCTAAGTATAACTGAGTTGACAAATATAAACTTAAATCATTGAAGTCAGGCTGGGGAAAAAAATTCTGTCGTCTGCCAAAACCACTTCCGGTATCCACTGAAATATCCGCTATACAGCCGTAAAAGTGTTGGATCAAAATGACGTATTTTATAACTACTTGTCACCACGCTAAGTATAGCAAGCACTTCGTCTTCAGTGGTGTTAAGGGTCATACTTCATGGCGTTGTGGTCATCGTTGATTATGTTGTGGTCATCGGTTAGACGAGGTCTAAGACCCGTATTTACTTGACCAATTTCATAGTCAAAAGTACATCGAAGGAGTCTGATAGAGAAAAGAAGCGTGGGCAGGATTTTTTTAATGGATGATGCTCATACCCCCCCCCCCCCACCCAAAAAAATCTAGCCCATAAATATAGGCCATATCTATCAATCTATTTATCTATTTGTCTGTCTGTCTGTATGTCTGTCTGTCTCTCCCTCTATGTGTATATATATATATATATATATATATATATATATATATATATATATATATATATATATATATATATATATATATATAAATGTATATATATATATATATATATATATATATATATATCATAACTATTTTAAGTACGTAAAATTGTAGGCTTTTGACACTCTCAGTTACCACACCGGGTGACTAACAACGCCCCTGGTTAAATGTTAAGATGCTAGAAGAAAATAAACGTCTCCATAAAATGACGGAATTTTCTGTAAAGAAAATTTTCAGGTCTGAGTTGCCAGAAAAATGTATCGACAATCAAGTCAAGATCTTTTGTCTTTTGTCGGTTAAAATTTTTCATGAGTTGCCAGAAAAAATATGTAAAAACGAGCCAAGATCTTTTAATATTTTTTTCTGTTTCTGTCCCAGATCGAACAGCTGGCGTTGATATGGCTGGAGAGGCAGAAGATGGGGGGCTCCTACAGCAGCCACCGCGCGCAGACGGAGAAGCACGTTGTCGTCTGCATGACCATGCTGCAGGCAGACTCGGTCATGGACTTTCTCAACGAGTTCTACGCTCACGCCAAACTGCAGGCATGTCTGGTTTCTTTTAGACATTTTTTCTGGGGGGTGGGGGGGGGGGGGGGACTTGAAATCTTTGGGGAGGGGGAACACTTAAATTTGCGGGGGGGGGGGGGGCGGACACTAGTTAAAGAATATATTTTCTATATAAAAAGGTATATTTAGTAGAGGGGGAGGGGGCGGGAATCAGCGTCTCTCGTCCCTCCCAAGTGATTCCTGAAAGAAACTGCAGGCAAGTCGAGCGACTCAAAAAACTTTAAAAGCACTTTAAGTTTAACAAAACCCGAGAACTGACAGCCGATTTTTAAAAATACCTAACCATCGGGGTTTCTTTCAGACATTTTTCTCCGTAAGGGGGTTGACGTGATCCGGCACTCCGGGGTGGGTATAAACTAAGATGCGCATTCCAGCGTGCTTCCTGTGAGAATTACTGCTAACCATAATCCAGCAACAGGCCATCCTCTAACTCCAATAATAGTAATTTCTTTGTCTCAGAGTTAATTGGGAAGTATCAATTAGTTAAGTATAGCCAGCCAAACAAGATTTGTAAAAATTTACATTTTATTTTTAAATAAAATTGCGAAACCAACGAAGTTTTTAAAAGCTGTATATGGATAAGGGGGATAACTATGAAAATTGTATCTTATTTTGTATAGGACTATTTCGTGGTGATGCTCTCCCCTTGTGAATTAGACACTACAATGAAGATGTTGCTCCAAGTTCCGCTGTGGGCACAGCGGGTTATCTATGTTCAAGGTTCGGCCCTCAAAGACACGGACTTGACCAGGTGTAGGTGTGTAGGTCGTTTTATTTAACTTCTTCGTTCTTAAGTTTAGTGTTGGAAGGGATCCCCCTCCAACACAATTAGGGATACGTGTCAACTGGTTATGCGCCATTGAAGCCATTGACTCTGATTTCAGCCTGCTTTTCTTTTTGCCTTTGGATTTGCTTCCATCCATAGCCTTTGTCCAACCAAGAACAAACTACAAGGCAGCAGTTGTTTGATTTTGGAGTTTTATGTAACAAACTTTACTATTTGCTCTGAAGTATCTTGTGTTTTTTAATCAGAAATAAATATTTCTTTTCATAGAATGCAGGATGCAGAGGCTTGCTTTATACTTTCTGCGAGAAACCATAGGAACAACGCTGCCAAGGACGCCACTGTGAGTATATAATAATAATAATATATACTGTACAGTGTACAGACAGTGAGGTTAGAAAACATTAATTTATCAGCAGTAAAGCGAAATATATATGGGTGGTAACCCAGGCAATCATGCTTTATGATTTGTATTGTTATGATAGAACCCATGTAATGGTGTTAGTGTTGTGTTTTTTAATATGTAAATTACTAAATAGAAGTTAATGAGTCATCAGTTGTGGGGGGGGGGGGGGGGACAAAACCAACCGGAGCACAAGAAATAAATTCTAGATCTAGAATCTAGATTTTATTCTTGTTTAGTGTTTACAAATCATAAGTCAACATCACATATTTTACATCAATCAGGAATTTTATATCAACTTTTAAAATGTACTACACAGTTCCAGAAAAACTTTCTTTCTAGTTCTTTTAGAAAATATAGGCCTTCTGTATAAACAGTTTTTTATATTATACAATAGCCAATTATGGAGAAGTAGAAGATCCATTCAGTAGCTTAAAACTGACATATTTAGGTGTCCCTATGTTCTTCTAGTAAGTGGTGATACTGACTCCCCAGTTAATTATGTTCCCCCTGATATTGATGCCTCCCTTCTTCCCCCCCCCCCCATGTTTGTCTTTGGCCATGCAGGATCAACACACCATTATGAGAGCCTGGGCTGTCCGAGACTTTGCACCAAAGTGTCCACTCTATGTCCAGCTCTTCAGACCAGAGAACAAGTTTCATGTCAAGTTTGCTGGTATTTTCTTTTTTATTTTATCTTTAGTTTTCTACTTTTCTATCTGTATTCTCTCTTTTATTTTTGTCACTTGTTTTTAAATAGATTTCTACAAGTTTTATAATATTATTCAAAAAGAAAGGCACAAATCAACTTTTTAGGATAAACATCTTTTAAAAGTTGGATTTCTAATAATAACAAAACAAACACATTTATTTTAAAAGTTGAATTTCTAATAATAAATAATAACGAAACAAACACATTTTATTTTAAAAGTTGGATTTCTAATAATAACAACAAAACAATTTTCAGATCATGTTGTGTGTGAGGATGAGTTCAAGTATGCCTTGCTGGCCAATAATTGCCTGTGTCCAGGGATCTCTACATTTGTAACACTTCTGCTACACACATCCAGAGGCCTGTTAGTACCATCTTTACTGTCTATTCTCATAAACTTCTGCTACACACATCAAGAGGCCTGTTAGTACCATCTTTACTGTCTATTCTCATAGACTTATACTTTACACATTACACTTGCCTTTAAACATTGATAATAGTTAATCCAACTTTTACTGACTACTGCACTGCCTATTCTCACCTTTGGCCAATTCTACAACACTAGTTGATTTAAATAATTATTATACTAATGAAGAGCTGAACTGAAAAGGTTTTTGTTTATAACTTTTTAACAGTGAAGGTCAAACATCTCATGAGGAATGGCAAAAGTTGTATGGAAAATGCTCAGGGAATGAAATTTACCACATACGACTTAAAGACAGTAATTTTTTTGGTGATTACGAAGGGAAAAGTTTTACGTATGCATCTTTTCATGCTCATCGCAAGTAAGTTTTGTGGAATAAAATTATTTTAATTTAATAACATTATTTTAATAAAATTATTTTAATACTTGATACCTAAACTTAATCAATGTTTAATGAATCATGGTTGGATGGTAGAGAATCTGACTGCTAATCAGATAGTCTCTAGTTCAGATCTTGGGCCCGAGTCCCCCAAATTTACATAAGTATTTTACTAAATTAGGGAAGGTAAAGATGCCTGGGTGCTATTGTTCCATTTGCCAAGATCACACAATAAAGACAAGTGAACTTTAAATCATTAACCCCATATACCTCCAGACTAGAAAGAGGGGTTTTTTTTTTAACTTTTTTAAACACATAATTTAGTTATAATAAGTTTAATCTTCTTTTTTTCTTCTTCAAAAAAAAATAAAATTTTTTTAAATTGTAATGTTGGATGGGATTTCCTCCAACATAATTAAGTATCATACGTCAACCTGTTATGCACCACATAGGCCATTGACTGATTTCAGTCTGCTTTTGTTTTTAGATATGGTTCCATAGCCTTTTTCTATTCAAGGACAAACCATTTATGGGGAATTTTCTCTCCTAAATGAGTTGCTGTCCCCAGCTATTGAGCCTCATCTGCCCGGTGGTTTGAACTCGCAACATTTGGTTAAACAACATCAAGCTTTACTTACCTGACCACGCTGACCCCATGTTTTTAATTAACAGCGGTAACATTTTATTCAAATCTTTCAGATATGGTGTCAGTCTAGTAGGAGTTCAGAGAGACATTCCAGGTAGTACAATACAGCTGAACCCCGGGCCCAGGCATATCATGCGCAAGGACGACATTTGCTTCTATATGAACATCACCAAGGAGGAAAACTCAGCTTTCATTCTGGCCCACCCAAACCATATGGGGACAAGTGACAGGGCCAAACTGCCACAGGGGACGGAGAAAGCTTCAAGGGTGGCTAGTATGATAGCTAGTGTTGGTAAGAACTAATTTGGTCAGACTATCCTAAATTTTGATTAGCCATACCCACACATTCAAATACTCTAGTATGATAGCTAGTGTTGGTAAGGACTGACTGTTTGGCTAAACTATCCTCATCTCTGTTGCATTCAAATACACAGAAAGCCTTATAGGTTGCTAGTATGATAGCTAGTGTTGGTAAGGACTGACTGTTTGGCTAAACTATCCTCATCTTTATCACATTCAAATACATCGAAAGCCTCAAGTGTGGCTAGTATGATAGCTAGTGTTGGTAAGAACTACTTTGGTCAGACAATCCTAATTTTTTTATTAGCCATACCCACACATTCTTATACACAGAAAGCTACCAGGGTGGCTAGTATGATAGCTAGTGTTGGTAAGAACTGCGTGTTTGGTCAATCTGTTCTTAGTGATTAGCCATACCTACACTTTTAAATATTTGGAGTTGCAGATAACAGAATATAAACATTAAGGCTTAGGTTTGAGCTTTAATATTAAGTTTAAAGTTAGAGCTAGATGTAGGTTTAGAATAAATCATAGTCAGAATGCTACAATCATTATTAGCAATACCAGTAGGATGAACAATTTTCACATCCTAGTGTTGATAAGACCTTTATGTATTTTTAACTTATTTAATCGCAACAGTATATTAGGCCAACTACTCAGTACATGACCTAACATCTACTACCAATAAATCTGTGTTCAGTCTTTTCTTGTTTGAAATAGTTTATTTGTAATTATGCTACTAGCAATTATTCCTTTATGTTTTAAAAAATCTGACTTGCCTTCCAGGGACAGTTGCCTTAGAGCTTCAACACACCCGAGTTGGTAATTTCAACTCTGAACCCAATCTTGTGTCCAGAACTGGCAGCAAACCAAGAAATCTTAGTCTACCTAAAGTAAGCATTTGGTCTAAACACTCACAAACAGTATAAATGATACAGGGGCTGTGTAATTGAATGGCAGAGCTGATTACTGCTTACCCAAGGCTCGAGTGGGACGGAGTGGTCTAGCGGTAGAGAGCTGGACTGCTAACCCGCAAGTCTTGAGTTCGAATCCGGGTTCAAGTCAGTAGACCGTCCCTGAGTCCACCCAACTCTGATGGGTACCTAACTCACGTTAGGGAAATTAAAGGCGGCTGGGCATAGTGCTGACCACACTATCTCTTCATATGCCGAGGTCACAGAAACAAGTGAACTCTACTTCACTTGCCCCATAGACCGTCAGGTTTGAAAGGGAAACTTACTTACTTACAAGGCTCCAGTTCAGATCCCATAGGACATCCCTGAGCCCACCCAACTCTCATGGGTACCTGACTCAGGTCAACAAAGGTGGCTGGACATGGTGCTGACCACACTATCCCCTCATTTGCAGATGTCATTGAAACAGATGACTTCTATTTCATCTGCTCCATGTGTCTTGGACATGAATGGGAAAAGATGTTGTTTACTGATACAAAACACAAAAACACTAACACAGTATGTGTGTAATAGAGATTTTAATATCAGAACTTCAATAGTTAAAATTTTTAAAGATTGTAGGCCAGTTGCTTGTACAAAACAAATTAATACTGAAACAGTGTATGTGTTTTAGATCTTCAACATTTAGAACACTTAGTACAAATTTTAGTTACACAAAACAAAACAGTAATAACACAGTATATGTTTTAGAGGTACCATATTTAGAACTCTAAAACTTTGAAGAATTTGATACAATTTTCTTTACTTACACAAAACAAAAGAACCAGATCATTACTGTTAGATGGCTTCACACAAAATTGACATGGCTGATGCACTTGTTGTATGTATGTTCCCAGGGTCTCAACATTCAGAGCTTACAGAAGAGACCAAGTATAGCACCAGTGCCTGCCACTCTTGAAACCAACAGCATTCACATCAATGTGATGGCATCGGATTCAGATGATGAAGAAGAAGAGGAAATGAATATAGATGGAGATGACTTTCCTGAGTAAGTTTTTCCCTTTTGTTATTTTCTTTCCTATAATTTCTATAGAAATTTTGGTTTATGTTACATGACATGATATGTTTATGTCAGTGGCGTCACTAGACTGGGTGCCAATTGTGGTTTGCACCTTGCCTTGTCTTGTGACTACTATTGACCATCTCATAGGATGGTATTCCCTTCCATGAGTGATGTAACACATTCATCAGGTGGTTTACATGCATGTTATGAATATGCCCCGAGCATACAGTATCCGTACAGCAATCACAGTCAACCACATAAAAATTAATAACTTTTAAAAATTTATAATACATTGCCTATTACAATTTAATTTATTAGTAATATTTTTATTATTATTTTAAAACCCTGCACATAATTGTAAGTTGATGTACATTACAACCTGGCTATTGATTGTTCATTGAGTACTTGTTGCTTTAATAGAAAAATTATATTTTAAACATGGGTCATAGTTATAATGATTTGTCTGTTAGGTATGTCCGAGGCTTTCCTCCAGTGACCCCGTATGTAGGGACAAGTCCGACACTGTGTCACCTCATGAAAGAGAAACGTCCACTGTGTTGCCTTCAAGTAGCTACTGTAAGCACCTTATTTACCAATATGTAACTGATAAAGTATTTGAGTTTTATTTGAAGGCTGTGCTTACACTAAAGAAACAGCTATTTATATTCAGATTTTTTATTATGTTAATTAAAGATAACTTGTAATGTCTATGGGATGTTGTGGCCGAGCAGTAGACTGCTACCTCAAATGTCAAGAGTTCACCCACCCAGTTCTAATGGGTACCCGACTCATGTTGGGGAAACAAAGGCAGCTGGGCATAGTGCTGACCACACTACCCCCTTGTATGCCGAGGTCATTGAAACAGATTAACTCTACTTCATCTGCCCCATGTGAAATGGGCACAAAAGGGAAAATATGATGAGAACTACCTAAAATTACACTCAAAATATAAAGTTACCTTTATTTAAATTTACTCCATAATAAATTATTTGTTGTTTAATTAAGACTTGTTAAACAGTAATTTATTTTTTGTTAATTAGTAATGCAAACTTTACCAGCAGAATACAAATCATGTTAGATATTTTTATGGCTGCATAAATTAAGTTTTAAAAAAACTAAACTTGACAGCAATGCAGTCACTGCCATCACAAAAATGCCAGAGAGTACAACTGGCCCAACCCTGCCATTATTGTTGCTGCAGATTACGCCAGTTCTGGCCTCTACAACTTCATAGTGCCTTTACGGTCCCATGCTCGCCCTAAGAAATCCATCAACCCCATTGTTCTGCTCTTCTCCAGAGTGTAGGTCAAATATTGCTATTTTTAGAAACACTTCACAAATAAAAAAGATACTCAATTGTGTTGATATATGAACTAATTAATTAACATTTTAAAAAGGATCACTAATTTTTTTTTTTTTAATTCTATAAAAACTTTTACTAGCTCTATTTAAATACAGCACATTTGTTTAAAAAAATGCTTAATGAACTTAATGGATTTTCCATTCTGTATACATTAGTAATGTATCTTAAAATTATATTTGGTTTAAATGTCATATTTAAATGATGTTTACATTGAGTTAATTTATAGCACAGGATAGAAAATGCAGGTATAATTATAAATATTGTAATATTCTTTTTTTTTGACAACACAGGCCTGACTCCAGCTTCCTGGCCATGATTAGTTATTTCCCTTTGGTTTACTGGATGTTGGGATCCATTGACTGGTTGGTTTTGTTTCTTAAACGTCATTGGCTAGCTTAAAGTTTTATTTTGTTTTTAACTCTTTCAACTTAAAATTTTGATTAAACTGTTCAGGGTTTTTAATCTCATGAATTATCATAAAGTGAGCTATATAACAATGTAGACTATATGTGAAGATATATTATCACAAACCCTACATTATCATTTATATTTGCGATTTAATTATCAAGCAAGAAATTTAATAGCAAAAATATAAAAGACCAAAGATTTCTAAAAACTAAAAAAAAATGTATTTGTTAGGTTTGTACAATTATTAAAATCCCTCTTTAAAAAGCTTATTAATTTTTTTTTCCAGCATTGAAGATTTACTCAAAGCAGGCATAAATCTAACTGAAAATGTTGTGGTTGTGAATAAGGAAACATCCAACTCTAGAGAAGAGGACACCTTGGCAGACTGTAATACCATAGTATCTGTACAGACAATCTTCAGGTTGGAAAATGTCTTTTAATAGACTTTTATTGCAGCATTTTTTCAAGCCTACTGTTATGTAATTAATTTTACGCTATCTCTATTTGTAAGTTCTGGTTAGATGGTTTTCATTATTGTTCTTATTACCCGCTTTTTAAAACTGAATTCTGTATTGAAAATCACCCCAGTTCACAATAATTTTTGGCCTTAATATCTCCAAATATAGAATATTCTAGGTTGGTTTTGTGTAGAAACTGGGTTTCTTTCAGGCATTTTGCTCAGAGGGGCATATTTTGCTTTGGGCAGACTATGGGTTAAGGGTATATATTCTATTTAAATTAAATATAATTTTTAATTCATCCATGCTCCATGTAACACAGTCCGTCCTGTTCGCCCACCCCCCCTCCCTCCGAAGCTGTGTAGAAAGATGTGACTCTTTAATTTATGATTGTTTATTCTGAAGTAATTTACTATTTTTACAGGCTATTTCCAAAAGCTAACATCATCACAGAAATTTCTCATGCACCAAACATGAGATTTATGCAGTTTAGACCAGATGATCTGTATGCTTTATCTATATCAAAGCAGGAAAAGGTAAACTTCTAATTTTATTTAACACAAAATTTCTGTTGTTTAGAATGTCAACCTTACAAATTAGATACTCACTTTATTCTTAAGCATGAATTTTCTATATTTAAGTTAAAATCAATATGAATAAAAATTCTATTTTATTGTTTTGATGATATTAGATATTAGTCCATTTGTTTTTAGCCTAAAATTTGCTTTTGTTAATAATAATTTTTTTAAATTCCTCTTTAGTCCACCAGATATTACTTTGCTCTAATATTTTATTTTTTATTTGTGAACAGAAAGAAAGAGAACGAGGCTCCAATATCTATTACATGTTTAGACTTCCATTTGCAGCAGGCAATGTGTTCAGTGCGAGCATGTTGGATGCGCTTTTGTATCAGGTCAGTCTGATAGTTTTCTAGATTAAAATATTTGGAGAATTTAAATCCTTCAAGTTGTCATGAAATATTTTGTTAAATAAGCTGTAATAAAATTATATGAACTTAGCTACACATAAATTGAACTTTTACTTATAATCTCCAATTTTTAACTTTTCAACTTTACCCTTTCTTTTAGATGTTCAAAATATTCAAGATATTTTTTTTTATTTGAACTGCAGGCATTTGTTAAAGACTATTTAATAACATTTGTCAGGCTGTTGTTGGGTATAGACATGGCAGTTGGATCAGGTCACCTGTCATCTGTGAGTGTTTTTTTAAATGTTTAACTTATAGTGGTTTATTTAGTCACAATTAATCCCAATACTAAAACTAGTGTATCCTGGATACTATTTATCTTGGGGTTTTAATTATTTTTGTTTTGTCTAGCTAGTATTTTTAACTTATTTTCAAATTTTTTAAAGAAAAACTTAACAGCTTATAAATTTATTAAAAATTTAAATTTTTGGCTTTAACATTTTTATAAAAGTCAATGTTATATCTGGGTAGGAGGAAAGGAATCCGGCTCAAAAGTTTAAAAAAATAAATAAAAGGTTAACAAATCTTTTGTTTATTTGTAATTTTTAAGAAATAAATTATGTTGTTATTTCTTTATTTACATTTGTATAGCTATGGCTAGATCTTGAATTTCTTCTCCTAAGATTTAAATGCTAGATCCACCTAGCCAGTGTTTCTTTCAGACGTTTTGTTTCTCCAGGGGGCTCTTGATATGTTTGGGGGGGGGGGGGGGACAACATTTTCTGGGGTAAAAGTATATGTTCTCTATATAAATTCCATTTCATTTGGGGGGGGGGGGGTAGACTTTTTTCGGGGGGCTCTACCCCCCCCCCCCTTCCCCAAAGAGATGCCTGGAAGAAACACTGCACCTAGCATAAATGTACATCTTCAATAATTTTTCTCTTATTTGTTTTAAAAGGTAACAATTGGAAAAGATGACCTTTGGATAAGGACTTATGGCAGATTGTATCAGAAGCTGTGTTCAACAGCCTGTGAGATACCTATCGGGATCTATCGCACCCAGTATCACTCTGGTGCAGCCGAAGCCAGTACTGTAAGGAAATATTTGATCCCATTATGTGCTTGTGTACATGTCGTAGGTGACCATTTGTGTGTACTCCCTCATGGTGTGGTAGAAAATTTTTGTTTAACCCATTTGTGACCAAAACATTATTTTTCAATATTTTTTATTTATTAAATAAGGAGTATTTCAAATTCGTACATAAAAACTCATGATTTAACCTGTAGGTTTTTTTTTTATAACTGCATCCTTTTACTACTGATTTCAGATTTTCCAAATAATAAATTACTAAAAAACAACAGTATGTAATAAATCTACTTTAAATTATTGTTTGTTGTGCCATTTGAAATGTTTTACAACTTAAAGTGTTTTGTAACCCTCAAAAGTAGATTTATTAAATTGTTTATTGACTGACTTTTGTTATAAGAAGAATATAGGGGAAATATTGCTTCTGTGTAAAGTAGAGTCTTTACTTAAGTAAACATACATATCTAAAAACCAACTTACACACTGTTTACGTATATTTCTGTTATAAATAACATTTTCAGTGGCCTTTTAAAGTTCCTTTTCAACAAAAAAAACTTTGCCCTCAAGGTATAAAGACCTTAGTCCAAGAGCTCCAGTAAATTCTATGACTTTTGTTTAGGTCCAGAAATATGCATCAATTAAGACAATATTGAGAAGAGGAAGAATGAGAACAACAGCTTCAAAACATGGATTGGAAAATGTCAGTTTACATGTCTTCTAAGCATTCAGTTTATACATCCTGTCCTCACATGCACATTTTCAGAATATACATTTTATTGTGCTCTGTGTTTGCTGTTTTTATTCATTGTTGATTCAATACTTCCTTTTCTGATAGTCCTTCTAAATATACTTATGGAATGCATTTTAATATTTAGTGTCTTTTCTCAATACTTTACCATTTTAAACAATTAGCATGCTTTTGTATCAAACTTCCACTAATGAAAAATATAACCTAACTTGAAATAGTGTTTTAGATATTTTATAAACATAATAAAATATTAAAATTAAAAGTTTTATATGATTGAGATTATTGCAGTAAATAATAAGTATATATATTTATAACCTTGTACATTATAAAAGAGTATTTATAATAGAAAATGTAAAAGGAATGTTTTTTTTAAATATAAGAGAATGAAATATTTATATTGTAATTTATTTTGTAAATTATATTATATTTGTATGTTTAAAATTTCTTTATGTAATAATTTAATTAACATTTTCGTTGTGTTCAGATTTCAAAGTATTTATTGATTTTTTAAATTTTATCATTACTCTTTATACTTGCATGTTTTAAATTTATGTAGGCTTCATTAAAAAAAAAAATTTATCGCACTTTTTTAAAATCCAGTCACTTATGATATACTAAACAATTTTCAATATATTTTAACCTTCAGGTTTCATTGGCTCCACAAGAGGAAGAGTCAGCCATGACAGGACATTTGACTCCAGAGAGACATGAAATCATCCAGATGGTCAAGTGTCGGATGCAGACGGAGGGACTTCCACTAGAAGATTATTGTGAGAGTGGGTGGATGTGCTTTTTCCTTTCTGTTTCATCTCTCCACTTATCTATTTTCTCTTTCTTTTTCTCTCACTTTTTGCTATTACTTAAGACAAATTGTTCAATCTACAATAATTTATGTTTAAAAATATCTTTTGTTCTATATACTTAACGCTTTAATCTGTTTAACTTTTTAAAAATGTAAATGATTTTTTTTTAATCAATTTTTTCCTTTGACTTATAAAATTTGAATTAAATGAAAATGGTGACTTAAATTCCATTACCTGCAATTTATGTATAAGATACCCATTCTGAAGTAGAGTTCACTTGTTTCTGTGACCTTGACAAATGAATGGATAGTGTGGTCATTTCTAAGCCCAACTGCATTTACTTTCTCTAAAATGATTTAGGTACCCATCAAAGCTGGGTGGATTCAGGAAAGGACTCAAGAAATAAAAAATGTTATATTTATGCACAATATTTGCTAATTTGTTTTTCTGCAGATGAAGTAAGTGATACAAGGACAACCATTTCTTATGTACTCATTAACCCCAGCTATGATCTTAAGCTGGAACTTGGAGATATTGTGTATGTATCAATTTATTTTTCATTCATTCTTAGTTTCTATGAAAAAATTGAAGTCATTTGATTCACACAAAATTGAGACTAATGAATAGTATGAAATATTTTAAAATTATTGTATATTGATTACTAATTTGTGCCAATAAAATACAATTTTAGCTCAACTTATAACAAATCAAATCAATTCTTTAAACAGTCTAACCTGTTGTATAATAAAACATTTAAAGTAATGAAAAGTGGATTTTTATGTTTAAGTTTTTTAGTTTTGTGAAAAGTGGATTTTTACAGTTCAACTTTTTGGAGTTAATATAGACTAAATAAATAGTTAACATGATTTTAAAATTTAGGTAAAATAATATGATCATATAAAAGTTGTTTATAATTTTAAATTATTTTGAATGTAAAGAGTAAGAAATTGTTTTATTAAAGTAATTTTTTTTTCCAACCATCAGGTACGTCATACGTCCTAGCTCACTATCCCCTCAACCATCACCATTGACTGATGAAAGGAAGCTGTTAGGACACAGCTACAGACACGTACCAACTTCATCTGTTGATGCTGGCTTATCAGACGTGCAGTCCCATGACAATGAGCAGGAGGAGAGTAACGACCATCTGATCACAAAAACTTCCCAAGATTCCACGGTCTCTGCCCCAGCCAATGTAAGGAATTGATATCAAATTGGGGCTGATTGCGTTGGATTTTGTATAAAAGTTTTTTAATTTGCCAAAATTTTCTATAAAACACCAGCAGGTAATACCAGTGCTGTAGGTAGAATTTTGTCATGGGGGGGGTTGAATTTTATTTTTAACCCCCCCCCCTGTCTATCTGCCAACACTACTGATCCTAACCCTACCCTTTTCCATGAAGCTAACACTAACCAAAACCCTGGGACCATGGCAAACAGAAAACATTGATGCAATAATATCATGTCTTAAAAGTCTTGCTATCAGAATCAAATTTTGTTGTTTAGAATAGGTAGAGAAAGGTAAAAGCACTAGGGGTTGTCTGTAAATGATATCACACATATAGACTGAGTTGATCAGACTTGAGTAATGTAGGGAGGGGGCGATAATGTGGCATTCTATTTTTTTATTTTTAAGATAAAAAAGAGGAATAGTCTGTTAATGTATGTTAAAAGTTGTTGTTGAGGGGGTGAATGGTGGACAAAACTTTGACTTTTTGGGGTATTGGTTTAAAATGTATGACATCATTTATTTATGACCCCTGAACTGTAGGTTATTAGTTTAGTCTTTAAATTACTTGAAATTTTGTTTCATCTTATTATATGTATATTGTTTTCATTTGAAAGGTACTTCCCTGTTAGGCCAGAAACAGATATAATGACTAATGCAATATTTAATTTTACCTTGGTTGACTTTTCTGGTTGAAAAGAAAGACCATTGTTTTTCTGTTTCAGGCTTAATGGGAATGTACCAGTTTAAGGTATGCTTAAAAAAAGATTAAATTATCTATGACTGAAAATTATCTTTTTTTTAAATTCAATTTTGACCTTTCATTATTAAATATTAATAAAACGAGCTAGTGAGATGAATAGTTTATTAATAGATGTAGTGAACAGTTTAAAAAATATCACTAGATTTGATTATTTGGTGGAACAATTACTTTTTAATTGATAGATTCCGGTGATTTATTACGAACACTTGGAGAACCCAAAAGACATGTCTGTGAGTCTTCCAGCGGACCTTCAGTCCCATTACATGTCCCAGCAGGGGAGTCAGGACCCACCCAACCATTTCTCGCATCGTTCAAGGGACGAAATCTCCACCCCAGACAGTGATGGCAACATCAAGTCTATTTATAGCTCAGACGGCCCTGCTTTGTTTAGCCATGATACTTTGAATGGGACAATTCTGTGACTGCTCAGGTTTTAATTGCTTTTTGTATGTGCAGGTTTATCTTATTACGTGGAACTGCTGCAGCAGGTTTAACTCTTATGTGTATATATTTTTGAAGTTTTAACTCACTTATTATGTGCAAAAACCTATTTAGGTTTTCTCACTTTTGTGTACAGTTGTATCTTACTTGTAATGTGCAACACCTGCTGTTTAATTGTTTCATGTGTTCACACTTTGAATTTTTAACTTTCCAGCTCTGTAAATTAATGATTTTTTTGGACAGTCTAGTCACATGTGATTTTTACACATTTTTTTTGTTGATTTTTTGTTTTTGTTTATACAAATGTTAATAATTTGATCAAAATACTCAGCCTAACTGGCAGTATCGCAAAGCTGGTTAGGTAAATGAGGATAAGTGTTTTAAATGATTGGTTGCAATGCACTTTCATAAGCAGCTGTGTCAATGTTTTATTTATGTATATTTATATAATTTGTGTTTGCATAAACAATGTCTGATATTACAATAAGTAAGCAAATACATCAAAGATTGTACCCCATGTTTAAGGACTGATTTATGAGTAGCCTGTGTATTTTGAAAGTCTATTCCTGGAAAATAAAAAATATAAAAACTTAGTTTATAAATTTATCAAACTATTTTATAAGTATTCAATTTTTTAAACATTTAGCAAGAGTTCCATAACAGAAAAGCATATTTTTAAAAACTTTATTAAACTTTAAAATTTGCTTAAGACATTTATATTTTAGAAATGAATTATAATTCAAAATTGTAAGTTTTCAATCAACTTAATAATAAAATAGTACTTACATATAACAATTTTTTTTAAATCTTGAGTAACACTTAGTGGGTAAAATTCAGCTTATAAATATTGTCTGTGACAACTGCTGAAGTTTAATTTATCTGTGATGTTTGCCCACAAGGTTGCAGCCTATTCCATGGATCTGAACACTGTTTTATAAATAATTGTGAAGTACACTTGCATCAGCTACAACTTATTTTTTGCACTATTTTATTGAATTAATGTTAAATCATTAGTCTTATTTTATTTGGCTTGTTGTAACTGTTTTCTTAATCATTTATAACAATGCATAATACTAGGGCAATGAAAATACAGGGAAGGGGAAATAATTCATTTTTACTGTAAGTATTGTTTATAACTATTTACATTTAAATATTAATCCAAATCAGGTGATAATTGGAAAGGGTGAAAATTTCAATAAAATTAATTCTACAAATGAAATTTTATTTGCTTACCTAAACATTTTCTTGATGTTAATAATTTTTAAATAGACAGCACTCTAAAATGCTTGAAGACATTCTATCAGTCATATTAACAGATGTAGTCAACATACACATATCTGGATCTATTTACTGTCTAATATAGAAGAGCTGCAGTGCTAGCTTGATCATGTTGGTCATTGCAATATAGAAAGACTGTCCGGTGTTATGGCATAACTTGGTGCCACATGCCTATGATGACTAGGATAACTTTACTTAAAAGCCTATTTTTATGTATTTGTTGAAATCACAGAAATTCAATCTTTATAAAAATGTAATACAAAGTTTATTCTTACACAATACTGAGCAACTATGTGTAAAAGATATAACAACTAATTCTTTTACTATCTATTTCCACTTCAATTTCAAAGCCGACAACTAAACAGCCTTACACTAATCTTGACTAGACTACCTATTTGTTAACTGCCCTCTAAACTAATATTCCCCCTAGCAACTAGAAAAGCTAACAATCTCCCATAATTTTTTCTGGCCACATGACTAACCCACCAGCCTCACTTTTTGATTGGGTTGTTCAGACTTGCCAAATAGCTTACTTTGTAGCTCTGAGACTTAAATAGTGTTATTCCTAACATTACATTATCATACCCAACTTGTCTTCTATATATACCTTGCTTGCAGCCTCCATGAGTTACTTTCCTGCTTCCATATCTTCCAGTGAATTTTCTAACCTACCTCAGTTCATTTATATATTTATATTTCTTAGTTTTAGTTTATTTATGAGATTAACAAAATAAATAGTTGTATGCATTTGTATTTATTTTTAATTTATTTTTATTTTGATCATATGAAATAGGTAGGAGAGACTTTGTCTTTTTACAGTTTTTGTTTCGTTTAAGTTAATTTAAGAAAAGTTATTTTACAACTTGCTCAAACCAGTGACCTGTAAACTCTGACCTCTGTTGGCTCATTAATTCCACACTTTTCACTTGAGTTTAACAAGCTGTTACAAAAAAACATAATTTGTATTCCTATACATTCTACAGTTTAATTCATCTGAATTGAAGCATCAGTTGTAATGCTTTATTTTAGCAGAGATAGTTTACACACAAAAAAACAGTTGCTTACCAATAGCCCCATCACTAGACTAACTATTTAGTGTTAGGTTTTAAAATTGCTGTTTATAATGCACAATGTGATTATATGTTGACTGTGACTAAGCCAGCACTACCCTTTAATCTGATATTGTAGATACATTTGTGATTGCTTGATGGACAGATGTTTGTCAGCAATGATTGTTGAATATGATTTGCAAGTTAAGATTGTTGTTTTTTTATAGCAATTGTTTATTTTAACTTTTAAGGGATATTTTAATGCCATTTTATGTAATACTGTTTTAATAAATATAATTTATGATCAGAGTATTCAGTCATATTAAAAAGGATAAATTATCAGGTGATAATGATAATGAGCTTCTCAAAATATCACTATAGTATAGGCTTAAATACTTGGATTTATATCATTTGCTAATTTAAGGAATAGCTTTGTTAAAAAACTAATTGTGCAATAATTATCTTTAAATAAATGTACATGCAAAAGCTACATTTTTAATTAAGCAAAATATTGCAATGTTTTTTTAAGTGCACACCAAGATATCTTGTAATTTGCACTAAAAAGTTGAAGTGTAATGATAGTTGTGATTTTTACTCACTTTTTCTCTACTAAAACTAACAATATTGTTCATCACCATTTACTTAACATAAAAAAAACAGGATTGTTTTAGGTTATTGACCAACACAAATGGGTAATTGGCTAGGTTTTTAATTAAAGATATTTTAGCAAAGTTATTACCATAACTCTTTATTTGTATTATAAGCTTTATACTTTGATTTATATCTTTTATTTACTGTTTTGGAATAATTTAAATATATGATTACATGAAGCAGATTAAAATTTGTTTTTGTAAGTTAATCTTCAGCCTTAAGCATTATTTTTATGTGCTTATTATCACACATCAAATGTTGGTCTGGATGTTATTTTGGAACTAAGTTCCTGTAAAACAATTATTAAAACTTTATATCTTTTTAAAAACTAATTTAAATATTTATTTATTCAGAAGAATTTCCAAGTTGAAAAAACACGAACAATAAAAATTAACAACTTTTTATTCACTGGTTAGAATAAAAGTTTGAAGAGTTAAGAGGTGTCATCAAATGTGGGTAGATAAAATACATATTGCATAATACATTAGTTAAATCACATTAAAATTATAAATTACATGTATTATGTATACAAAAAGTACATTATTAATTAATAATTTATTTGTTTTCAATATCAATTTCAAAGGCTTTAAACCATTTCCAAAAGATATTAAAATCATTAAGAAAAGGAAGTGCATTGATAACTTGCATGTTGAAAAACGAAATTTCATGTAGAAAGGAGCTAAAACACCAAAAGTAAAAAAGAAACATTGTCAATAGGACCACGGCTAGGGATAAACTAATCAAACGAAGAGAGGGTTGCTTGACGCAACTGTAGATAAATAAATAATATTATGATCGTTTTCATTCATAATCTCACAACATGAATTATGTAAAAATAGTTACTGAACACTTCTTAACTTAAAACAAATTATAGACATATTAAAGACATAAATAATAAAAAAAAAAAATAATATATAAAAACAAGCAACGACAAAAGTAGTGAAGCATGGGTTTGCACCAGACTATAATATAGCTGCTATTCTAATTTGACAATTTTTGTTTTAATTTACAGAGCAAGGTCACAATGTACAATAAAACTCAAAAAAGTGTTAACAGCATACCAACAAAGTTTAGAAAAAAAAGTTAATTTTATGATCAGCTCACTTAAAAAATAACTTTCTATATAATAGAACTTTTTTTTAGAGACTGGTGTTTTACCCTGTCTAAAGAGATGAAATAATATGAGATCTGTTAGGGTAAGTATTTAGTTTGAAGTAATCACCGAGGTACATTTTCAGCAAAATATTCCAAACATAACTCCTTAAGGACAATTTTAGAAATTATAAGTTAATTAGTGATCAAGGGTAAATTTTAAAATGACACCAAGTTTATTTTAAATCTTTGAGGCTACTGTGGTTTAGCATTAAACTGATTGAATCTTTAGAATGTACATCAACGAAATATCTAGAGAAGCTAAAAAGACTTTAATCCCAACTGGCAAGTCAAAAGCAGTAAGTTAATAAATAGAGATCAAAGCTGTAAGTACATTGGTTCAGATTACTTGCACAGCAAATACTTCTATCACATTGAAAGAGCGTTAGAAAAATAAATATCAATACAATTGCGAGGGTTTCTAATCTATTGGTTGCGCTGGTTTCTATTCTATTGGTAAATTTTAAGCACTGTAAAAAAATTTAAGATTAGGAAAACAGGTTTTTTTTAACAAATAATAAAATAATATTAGATCCATTTTAGTTTAATTTCTTTTATCTGAAATCCATTATAGCATGGATTGTCTTAAATATTATTACAACTGAAATATACAAACAAAAAACTATCACAAAATATATCTTTAAAATATATTAAAGAAAAAAAAAACAAGTTGACTTGTTAAAAAAGAAATAATTTAATTTATATGGCAACAAGAGAGTTTGTGAATAAGATAAATACATCAAAATTTCCAATAATTTAATTTTATGTTTATGGACAGGAATAGTTTCGTAAAAACAATATAAACATGAACTACGCAGACTCAGTGTCTACAAGAGCACACGTCAACTGTTTGTTTATACTCTCAACCAAATCAGTCTTGGCTGCGACAGCCTCAGCCAGCGTGGGCTGGTCTAGGGTGAACTCACTGATGGCGCCGTTCTGGTCAGGGGAGCTGGCGTAGTGGACAGTGGCTCTATCATCCATCTGGACCACATTCATAAAAGACTGAGCTGCCGTTTCTGAGACCAGCTCAAACTCTGGATGGTATTCTGGCTTGTGACAGTCAATTCTGTGCACACAGAAACAGCAGAAGGCATGCAATATAAAATGCTATTAAACACAGCATACAGTGATGTTTAAAAGTTGAATTGTTTATTTATTTTATGAATTTATTGAGGAAAAAAAGTATTACAATTTGTCCTAAGAGCATTTGGAATTAAATTATTTAATTTAGACAATTGAAAAAAGCTGACGGGTAAAAAGTGAAGAGATCTCTGACCTGTCATAGATAATCCCATCAACCTTGTGGTCTCGCAGCATTCGAATCATCTTAGGGTTGTTGTTGTCACTCCCCCAGACAAACAAGACCAGCTTTTTATTTAACACTCGGTTGATGAGGCTCATGTCTTGGAGTAAAACTTCTGAATGTAGTGCTAGGCCCTGTAAGATAGACACAATATAGATATGACCCTTTTATAGCAGCATGTTAACATTGTTTATTTACATAGAAAAAAAGTAAATTTAAAAATTATTAAAAAAAAGTATATTACATATTTTAAAAGACACCAAAAAAAAAACAATCAATGTTAGTGAGTTGCACATGTGAAAATATTTTAAATTTTACAAAAAATTTTATGCAAGAGCAAGATAAAAAATAAATAATTGTTGTAATTTCATTGATAACCAAAGTATATCGTAAGGTCATACATTTTTTTTATTTAAATCCAAATAGAACCTACCAGAAAGTTTTCAGAAACAGCAAAACCAATGCCATTTTTGAAAGAATAAGCTCGGTAGTCTTTATAAGGTGTATAGATTTTGGTCTGTCCTTGGTGTAGAAACAACACAGGGTATTTATTTTGTTTTAATTGCAGCCTGGTTGGGGGAAAAAGAATGCTTTAAATTACTTTGTAAAAAAAAATTTCAAATATTTATTTTCATTTTAACATAAAATCAAGTTCAAATTGAAAGGTTATACCTTTTTTCATGTATAAGCTTAATACAGATAAAAATTTTTTTGGACAGATCAGTTGTTATACAGCTATTGGGAATTACCAGGTGAGGTGGAAAAAGTTTTAACGCAGTTAATTTTATTTTTATATTATTTAGGTAAGGATTAATCCAAGTTCGTCAGTTCTATGCAACAGTTCAAAATTTAACCTAGCTAAATTTTAAAAATACTAAAAATTTAACCTAGCTAAATTTTTAAAATATTAAAGAACCTAAAATTTTGTGTGTATGCATAAACATATGTTAAATATTGAAGTAACAGAAAATAGTGTTTTTTTTAGTTACTGAACATGAAATAGTACATTATAAGAGATCTCTTAGGGGAGTGTAAGGACACAACCACACCTCTCCATTGCACCAGTTTAGGGTGATTTAAAAAATTTGCCATGTACGGCCACATAAGCAATGGTGCTAATTAAAAGCTTACAGTATACAAGTATCAGGATCAAAGCTGGAGAAAACAATCTTCCTGGAACCAGCGTGAGCAAACACAACCTGCAGGATGTGGTCCAGGTTTTCATTCACATCAAAGTAGTTCTCCATCTCCCAGACTTCATTCTGGGAAGACAAATACACAGAATTATAACAAGCTGTGGCCAAGTCAAACAGCCACTGGGTATTTTATCTCCTAAATTGTACACTTCACATTGCATAAGGACATAAATTATAGCATATAGCTTTACAGTGCATGAAATTTTTAAAAACATCTATTTACTTACAATATCTAGCTGCGGGTATTTAATTTCAATATCAAATCCAGTATTTTCATCAACGACTTTCAAAACTTTTTCCAATGTAGGGAATGGCTCTTTGCTTTCTTCATCTGTTTCCTCATTTATTTCTGATAGGGAAATTATATATTTAAAAAAAAAATACAATATATAATGTATACTAATAAAAAGGCACTAACTTAAATCTTATCAACCAGATGCATGTACTGACCAATATGTGAATGATCTGAAGAAAAAAGTTTCATCGACTGCAGTTGAGCTAGGGTTAAACTTTTTACAGGGATCTCAAACAACTCTGATGGAACATTGTGTTTTGTTCTCTGTACAAAAACAAAATTTGTAAAAAATTAAGCTTTTTAAAGAAATGGTAAAAATCAAATCAAAATCTGTTAAGTTAGTTTAATGGTGAAATCAATTCATTAAGTTAAAATTATAATTTACTTAGAATTAGCTTTGGAAAAGACCTAGAATAAAATAAATCTCTCTTTATTTTTTGTAATATATAAAAAGCTATTTCTATATAGACTCTAATGAAATTCCTGCAAAGTAAACGAGAATCCCGGAACACAGTTTATTACAGTACTGATAAACAATGTAAAATTGTTATACAATAACATAAAACATCTAATGGATGTTAAATTTGAATGCACAGTAACTTCATCTTTACGAATAGAAAAAAAATTATTAACATAAACAAGTTTGTCAGTCATAAGATATCTTAAAAACATAAATTAATAAAAACTTACGTTAGAATACAGAGCTTTGACAGAAAAATCATGGTATATCACAGGCTTTTTATCTCTGCTCAGTAGAACATCAAACTCTACAAAGTCAGCTCCCTGTACACCAAAACACACATTTTTAGTAAAGATGAGATATAAACACAGAATATTCTTCAAACTAGTACTTCTAATTTTTTTTTTAAAAACCATCTAAACTTACATGGCCAGCTGCTGCTGCAAAAGATGCTAATGTATTCTCTTTCAAAGGGTTGACAACTCTGTACAAGATACACAGTTACTAAACTTTAGTAAAAATCATTGAGTGTAAAAAAAAATTTCATTTTTTAATGGCGAAACTATTTACATTTTTAAATATCTATATAGGGAAAAATAAGTCTACAAGACTACAAGTGTATAGGCTAGAGGTTAAAAATGTATTATATATTTAGGTAGTACAAACTGGTGTGAACTACAGAAACAGTCTAATCAAGTGTGTGGGAAAGTCACATACTGAGAGTAGGAAACGCCCATCCCCCTGTGGCCAATGTCCAATGGCTTATCCCCTGCCTTTCTCCACTTCCAGCGCGTCTGAAAAGTTGTTTCCATGGTCATCACTAGCCCAGGTACAGGCCTTCCAATCAGGATGTCAACTGGACATAGAAAAGACAAGGACTGGCCACATTTACACTGTCTAATAACAGATTTTTAAAATTTAAACTGCTAAAAGTAAATACATACACAGAATAAGTCAATGTTGTACACAGTTAACCACTTGTAAAATTTTATTGTTAAAAAGTAATTTAAAAATTATAAAAGTATATTCTTTGATGATAATTAGCCCTTCACTTTAAACAATACACACTGATCTTTACTCATAAAACACAACATCCAATTTGAACATACATTTTCAATTATTTTTTCTATAGCTTCATTTCACAGCTACTTTAATAAATGTTTTACAGTAAATTGCTTACCCATTATTTCACCAATAGGTTTGTGATTGCAACCAATAATAGGGAATTTCCTGGAGTACTGGGACTCTTTCTGTTTGAATGGCAGGAGGTGGGCAGAGCCAACAAACTTGGGAGCTCTGTTTTGTTCACATACAAAAAAGTCTAGCTGAAATCCCTGAGGTTTGGACAAAGAGCAATCAGAAGATACATTTTATAAAAATACATTCTTTAGAAACATAGGACCTGAAATATAACTTCAGCCAGGAATAACTTTGGTTCCCAAATTATTTTTCACACATTAACATTAAAGCAAATTTGACTAAATTTTTATCATCTCAACAGATAGAAATAATGCCTACATTTTCTCAAAATAAATTTCTAAGCAGTAGAGGTTTAACTATTTTAAAATAAAAACTTTCATAATTTAAAAATGAAAAACTTGCAAATGATAAATCTAAAATAAATCTGTTAACTTAATCAATTTTTTAAATCTACAGTCTAATTAAACATACATAAGTGATTTGACATTTAATTTTAAAATCTAATAATTCTAAAAAGTAATTTTAATTAACATAATAATGAAAATGAAAAAAATCAACTTTTTAATTGAATAACTGCTGTTTAGAGAAAAACAAATTTAAACTACAGATACAAAGTGTAGTGTAGTACAAACCTCAAGTTGCGTGTCTTGCAATTGTTTACGAAACACCACATAGCTATCCTTATTATAGAGCATACCAGCTGGACCTTGGATCTCTGGTTGGCTGTCCTCATCAGCAAGATTCTGAAGATGAAGCAAGGTTTGACTGGAGATTTTTTTTTTCATCTCGCTGTGTAAAAAGTGACATCTCGGTAGGATGGGAGGATTTGTTTTTTTTAAAGGAATTTAGCAGGTGCGGTTTTCTTCATATTTATGGATTTCCTTTCATGTTTAGAGGCTGCAGAGCTTGGTTAGTGATGAGCAAGAAATGAGAACAGAGGAGGGGAAATACGTACGATCACGTCCAACTCAAGGCACCTCAAAATAATGACGCTGAAAAGTTAATTACCCTTCAGATTATTAATTAAGGAATCGACACTGGATTAATTAAGTTGTATAATTTTAAATTGTACTGTTGTATTGTTTAAAAGCCTGAAAATTGTAGTGTGTGTAAAAAATCCTAGCACAAATGGCACTATAAAATAATTAACAAAAATCTATAGAAGCAACTAACTATATAACAATGTTATAAATGCATTTAAAATCTATAGTTGTATTAAGTGAGTGTTATCTTCTTATAAGAGGGCTTGGGGGATGCAGTGGCCTAGCGGTAGAGCACTAGACTGCAAACCCAAGAGCTCAAGTCAGTAGTATGTTCCTGAGTCCACCCAGCTCTGATTTATACCAAACACATGTTAGGGAAACAAAGACAGCTAAGCATAGAGCTGACCACACTGTCCTATTGTAACAGATGAACTCTACTTCATCTGCCCAATCTGTCTTGGACACAAATGGGCAAAGATTATAACAGGGCTTGCAGTTTGTTAAACTTTTTTTTGGGTTATGTTTGAAGGTAATTTTACAAATTACATTCTATCAACTTACACATGCTAAAACATCATCCACACTACAAGGGACTGGACCATCTTGAGAATCATCGTTATCATCATTTACTGATGGATCATTCTGTGGTGAAAAGTACTTCTTATTAAATTTTCAACTAATTTTTTAATGACTGTTGTAAGCCTAAAAAAGTTCTTTAGCGTGTACTTGAGTACAAGAGCAAAAGTGAACAAACTACAAATTAAATTACAGAGTTTTAATACTTCAAAAAGAGGTTAGGGGGGCTTAGCGGTAGAGAGCAATACTGCCAACTCAAAAGTCACAAGTATGAATTTGGGTTCAGGGGAACGCCCCTGAGTCCACACAACTCTTATAGGTACCTAACTCATGTTAGGGTAAGCAAAGGCGCCTGGCATAGTGCTGACCACACTATCCCCTCATATGCCGAGGTCCCTGAAACAGATGAACTCTACTTCATCTGCCCCATGTGTCTTAGGCACAAACGGGAAAAATGATCTATTTCACAGAATAACTACATTTCTTAATCATAAATCTTTAGAACTGATGTTGTGTTTAAATGTAAATCTGATGTTCCTAATCCTATCTCAGAAACTACTGATGTTGTGTTTAAATGCAAATCTGATGTTCCTATTCCTATCTCAGCAGCTGCTGATGTTGTATGTAACCAGCCAGCGTGTGGAGATAGTGGGCTAGACCAACCTGGGATGAGTAGTCCATTGCAATACATTTGATGCTGTAAGTCTGCTCTCTGTGTCTGGCTTTCCACATGTATATTGGATTGGAATGAAGACGTATCTGAACTTCTGATTGATTGATCAGCCATCCTTTCCCAACATTAAACTCATCATCTGAAAAATAGTTCCCCATTCATTGGTTGAAAAATATATAGGCCTATTAAAATGTGTTATGTGGTTTTAATAATTGTACATATTTCTGCTTCAAATTTTAATTTTTTTTTCTACCCACTTTTGACTTTATTACAAAATAGTTTTGGCATAAAAATATTTTTATGTTTTATCTAGATGTATAATATGTAACACACACTGATAGAGAGAGAGGGGGGAAAGATAAAATTTTAAACTGCAATAACTAGAATAAAATAACATATACAATTTAAAGTTTTTACCATATTTTCCAAATACTGATTCTGGTAATTCAAGCAGGTCACAGTTTCCCCCTAAAAGTGATAAATATAATTACAGTACTTATGAAATTTAAAGCGCAAGTTTTTAACAACAACAAAATTACACTTTTGGGTAAATCTATGGTTAAAAGATTGTTTATACATTACAGCGGAATTTTTTTTATTGTATCTCTGTTACAATCAAAGCTAGGGTTGGTGCCAGGGTGGTGATACTAGCAAAAAAATATCTTCCATATGCCATTGACAAACACACAAGTAGAATTTTTTTTTAATATCTTATGTAATGGGAGATCTAACCTGTTGTAAAGTGCCGAGGCTTGATGTTTGTTTCCCATTTATACACTGTCAACCCAGGAGCTCTAGCCGTCTTTGGATCGTGGCTGCATTCACTCTTTTTCTTACTGATTTGTTGCTGCTTACACACAAAGAAGCGATAGTGATAGGTAGTATTCACTTGCAGAGCTATTGAGCACTTCCATTGTTTCCTGAGAAGAAAGGGAGAATGGAAAAAATATTTTTTTATATCATGATGGTCTGGCATTCGACTGCTAACCCTAAAGTCTCCAGTTCAGATCCCGAGCTAATTAATATGCTGGGGTCACTGAAACAGGTCACTCCACTTCCCCCATGGATCGTAAGGTTTAAAGGGTAATGAATGGATAGCTAAAATATCCTACATATCTGATTTGAATACTTTTTGAATGTGAAACTAAGTTTACTGTTTTTTAATCAGAAATTAGCAGATTGCTTTAAAAATCATTTTTGAAGTATTTTATGAGATCAAAAACAGTTTAAAGAGTATTAGCTATGTCTAAAAAAATGGTTAAAGTTAAAGCTCATATTTTTGAAAATAGACTCATATAAACCGTTTATTCATATATTTAACATGTAATTTTTTTATATCATTTTAGTTATTTTCAATTTAGTAAATTAGATAGGCCTATGCAAAATCAAATAAAATTGAGTAATTTTAACCTAAATGTAATTTAAAAATTGTTTATTAAATTGCTAACAATACAGCAACTACTTAAAATTAAAAAAACATGCAAATGTACCAGTTTTGTCCAGTGAAGTCCCTTTCCATGACAACAGCTTTTAATGGATCCCATACACCAAGGAGGGGATCATCCCCAACAACACATACAACCTGGCCTTTAAATGTCTCCACATTTACTCTAAACATAACGTTGATGCTCATTTTCTAAGTTAAGGTTCTCACAAGCTTGGTAAAGGTATACAGATCGATTTTAAATCTTCAGCTTAAAAAATGGAATCTTGACTCTTATTTGCCTCATACTGAACTAAAAAAGTCAATTTTCAAAAATTTCACATGTCAGTTGAAAGTGGTTTCTGTGGGGTAAAAATGTATTTGATTATGCCTCTATTAAAAACAAAATCATTATTAATATGCGCCTTTGTAATTATTTTCAGACTCATACACTATCCTTCCAATAAGCCTAAACTAAAAGTGAATAATCAATACAATTGATAAAAATAAATATTAAAATATATTACTGTATATCACAAGATAAGTGCCGTAGCACTATTAAGAGTCAGTAGTAACTGTTAATGAACTTTGCACCTAATCTAAAAAAATAAAAACAAAAACTAGGATAGGCAACTTGGCCTACTTCTAGTCCAGGGTCAATTTATCAACTTATTGTGTTAGTGGAATGATAATTAAGAAAATAAACTGTTGTTTTGCAATTGTTTAAAAGAATAGTAACATACAAGTTCACAAGTTATAAGAAATCTATAGAAAGGCAGTATGAGTATAAAGGAGTACTTGATATTTCCTACCACTGTCTGACAATGAACTATTCCAAATATGGGGATATAGTGAGCTAACATCAATATCTCAGTTGTATGGAGCAGTGGGAGTATTTTCCAATCAAAGATTGTTAGTACAGTTAGTTGCATGGGAAAATTTGTCTTAACATAGAATATTGGAAAATGGTAGAATATTGGAAAATGGTAGAACTAATGGGTTTTTTTTTTTAAAGAAGAGTACTTTGTAGTATTATCAGAATCAGACATGCGTATGAAAAGTTCTAAAAAAAATAGGGGTTTAAAAAAAATTATTTCAGTTTTAAGCTGTTTTTTTTAGATATAATTTTCAGGGTTAGTAATTAATTAGAGTCTAATTCATTCATTTATTAGACTTTAGGTGCTAAACTATAGATTTTCTATTAGTATTTTAAGTTTATATATAAACTTTATTTAATAGGCCTAGCTAGTGGCTAATTATAATATTTAAAAAAGGTCTATATTCTAGGTCTAACTAAATCTAGATCTAGCTAGCAAGCACTTGGTTAGGGCTGGTAATCTATCATTTTAGGTATGTAAAATCGGTCGAGGCTAGTAATGTGCGACAAAGTTGCCTCATTGTTAAGGCTTTAAAAGAAGTATATTGTGATATATTTGTGTCACATATTATAGATAATTGAATAATAAACCAAAATCAATGGCTATATATATCAATATAGGCCAGAAATTAACTTTAAACAGCAGTGTTTGCGAACAATATTTGCTATATAAACAGCCGCTATTTGTAAAATAGAGTGGCTTCCCCTGAATCTTCCGCTATAGGTTTACCAAAAAAAAAACTTAAACAAGATGGCTGTTGAAGTAAATGAGCTGTGTGGCATCTGATGAAAACATCAATAGTCTTCATTTAGGTGCCTAATATTTATTACTGAAAATTTTTAATACAATTGATTTTAAAAACAGGTAGGCCTAGAATCTAGATCGAGACATGAATGAGAATGAAACTGAAACATTTTTGTAAATTTCAAAACATAAATCTTCCTTTAAATGTGAAATAATTACTAAAATTTAATGAGGCACCTTCTTTTCACATAACAAGCCTCAGCCAATTTTGACCAGCCAAAGGGCCTAGGCCTAGTTTTTTATTTTTATTTTCATGCATAGGCCTAGTCACTAATCACCTACTAGATCTAGATCTAGAATCTAGCAACTACTAGGCTAATCAAGTAATCAAATCTTATTTTGGTTATTTTATTATTTTATAATGCATTTGTTGTTCTTACTCTGGAATTTACGTTAAAAAACACAATTACAAGTTGAAACAAGATCCAGAACAATCATTAAGAATAAGAACTAGATCTAGAATCTAGATCTAATTCTAGACTCTAGATTATCTACTTCCAGATCTAGCATAGTCTAGTTTGGCAAAGCTCTGTCGACTTTATAACATAACCTAACTGAACTTAGACCAAAAGGTTAAGATATCTGTATTTTACTAGATCTAGTTATCTCCCCTGTAAAATATTTTGCCCAGCAAATTAACCCTTTTTTTGCTCTGATGCGAATATTATAGTAAATATAAAAACTAAGTAGATTCTAGATCTAGATCTATGTTCTTTCTAATTATTTTAGTATGCTAAAGAATTAAAACTTACTATTAAAGGTTTTATCTGTATTCTTTAATATTATAAATAAATATGTGTAGTACTCCCCCTCCGTAGCTCTTCAATTTTAAAGGCCTGGAAGATGAATTAGGTTAAAAACTTAAAAACTATTACCGGAATTTACATAAATAAACAACATATTATGTAACCTAGACTTTATTGTCATTCTGAAAATATACAGAAATCTGATCTAGGTCTAGATCTAGATCTAGGCCCATAATAAATCTAGAATCTATATCTATTATAATAATATAAAAACTATATCTTTATCTCTATTGTGAACAATAATAATATGAGTGGTGCAGATGATGGAATCACGGAGATTTTCCCAGTAATGATAAAAAAAATTAAAAATATTAAACTATTTAATTATTTTTATTAATTAATAATTATTTATTGTATATATTATTATTATTAGGATTAGATTAGGCCAAGTGAAATTTAATATTCCCTATTAAATTACTATTAATTTATTTTATTAATAATATTAAATATAACTTAATAGTATTAATAGGCCTAATTAATAACTAATTATTAATCAATTTTAATATTTTATTTTCATTATTTTATTTACTATGTAATACATAGTACATAGTCATACTCATACATAGTATGTATGAGTATGACTATCTCACACTATCATTATGCTATGTTTAAGTAGAGATCTATGTTATGTTATGTAAGCCCTAGTGAGTGTTGTAATAGTAAATAATTGTGTGTACTATGTTTAAGAATAAGTTAGTTAAGTATTATTATAATTATATTAAGTTAATTGGGACCTAAGTAATGCTCATATAGGATAAACTAACCCATAAACATACTTTCATTTATGTAGAGATGAATGCTGATTTCAAATTTTGTGAATATAACAAATTATATATTCAATTTCAGCACTACAAAACATACAAAGCTTGCCAATCTAAAGCTTTCATAACTGGGTCCATTACATTATTAGGAGGTAAGAAAATCAGAACACCCTGGTTATAAATCTAGTAGTTTTTTTTTTTAAAGTGTACTTTCTTGCTAAGGTAGACAATGTTCATATATTAGGTTAATAAAGTTAAAGGGTTAGATTTGGAGAGTAAAGTGTATAAGGGTTTGGCTTATCATTTTTTGTAGCTACTATAACATCAACAGTTATTCAATGTAATTGTATTGATAATTTTTCAGACTTTATTGTAAATTAATATTTTTCAATTAAAATGTCACTTTTTTAAGCTGCTGCATGTACCTATCTTCTCATGGAGCAACTGTTTAAGAAATACAAACCAAATATTAGCAAAAACTGGCTAATGAGTCTACCATTTTTAGTTGGAGTGGGATCAGCTTATGTTATTACTATGAGAAAAACAACTCAGTGTCAAAATATGTGGATGGCTATGGAAGAAAGACATTCAGTTTTAACACCTGCTCAAGGTTTGTAATATAACCAGTGCTGAAGATATTGTTCTCTAAAGTGATGTAAAATTATAAATTATGAGGTTCATTAAGTGTTTCACAAAGTACAACATACATAGTAACTAGTTCTTTAGGTGTAAAATTTTTTTAAATTAGTAACAGTTCAAAATTGTCCAGTAAGCATAAATAATTGTTGGAGCTGATATATTCTCTTAATATATATAATGTTCTGCTCTCTGTGCAGACATTACTACTATTCATCAATAACTCCAATCCATCTTTATTTCCTCTTTAGAGAGATTACAGTCCAGAATGAAAACTGCAAACTAAAGAAATCTTGACACAGCTTCCTACAAACCACCAATGCAAAAGTTCAACAGAATATTAATTTGGCTATGATTGTAAGCTAGTATTAAAATCTACCATTTAACTTGTTTTTACACTTGACAACTTAATTTAAAAACACAAATGAAAAAGGATTTTCTTTAAAAATATTTAATAGCATATATTAATACAAAAAGTGGAAACTCAAAAAACAAAATAGGACAGCAAAAGCAAATCCCTAGTGTTACAAGTTTTTGATAAAAATGTATCAGAAACTAAAAATGGAATTATGCACACTTAATGAACACCATGTTAAAAAAATTACAATGGATGCATTAACATTGGAATATGTATGTTAGTTGCAGTCACTAAAAGCCTTACAAAAGTAACAAATACACATAAAATACCAGTACTAAAATGTATCACATCTTTTAGACATAAAAGTATGTGATCAACATCACATATTGTAATACTTCTGCCAAATTTCCAGTTCAAATGAAGATCTGTTAATATCCTAAGAAATACAAGCACAACATTTTTATCAAAATATAAAAAATGCAGCAAAGTTAAAATTAACTTTTTGTAGTGAATCAGCACATTGTCAAATTGTTTTTAAAAATACCATCAATAGATGGTTCATGACAAATTGGCAATTTTAAAATTACAAATCTGATTTTTGTTAAAAAAAATATCCACATTCTGCAACAAAAAACAATGCATTGCTACCTGCAAGACATGTAAACCTATTTTTTATTTATTTTTTTACAAAAAAAAAACTGATTTTGAAGTAGAATGTCACAAATTGTTTCAGTAGTTCACAACTACAGATACAAATGACATGGTAGAAAAAAAATACCACTTTTGTTTAATTAATTCATCTGTCCCTCTTCTTCCTCTCCCTCCTCAAATTCTCCCTCATCTTCAGCTGTTGCATCCTGGTACTGCTGATATTCAGAAACTAAATCATTCATATTGGATTCTGCTTCGGTGAATTCCATTTCATCCATACCTTCACCAGTATACCAATGAAGGAAAGCTTTACGCCGAAACATAGCTAACAAAGAAAAAGAAATATTGTAAGAAAAATTCAACAACATGCATATAAATCAACTGAAAAAGAATAGATAAGTATAAAGGCATGGCATAATTAGTGAACAGAAGTGGGTATTTATTGACCACATAAGCTATAATAATCTTAGACACACATAACTAGCTACATTGACTAAGACCTTACCAGTAAATTGTTCAGAAACACGCTTGAATAGCTCTTGAATGGCAGTACTATTACCAATAAAAGTGGCAGACATCTGAAAAGCAGTTCAAAAAGGAAGTTAAATTTAAAAGTTTGAAATTTGTAATGTTATATTCTATAATTATGTAAGAAACAATGAGAACTATAAAAATAATTTATGTCGATATATTCATGGACACTAAGAGTTATTGCTAAACTAGCATGGTTAAAATGTTACCTTCAAACCACGTGGTGGGATATCACAAACTGCAGTTTTAACATTATTGGGAATCCATTCCACAAAGTAAGAAGAGTTCTTGTTTTGGACATTCAACATTTGCTCATCGACCTCCTTCATGGACATACGACCACGGAACATAGCAGCCACTGTCAAGTAGCGTCCGTGTCGTGGGTCACAGGCAGCCATCATATTTTTCGCGTCAAACATCTGTTGGGTGAGCTCAGGCACAGTCAAAGCTCTGGAACCAGCAACAAAAATATTTTAAAATTTTAACCACATTTTGCAATATTATTTTTGTAATATACCTTTTGTAAAAATTGTACATGCATATTTTTGTGCAAGTTATATATAAAAAAAATATATATATTTAAAAAACTTTTTAGTACCCAATGTTTGAGAATAAATGAGTTGAATATAATCTTACCTGTACTGCTGGCTACCTCTAGAGGTGAGAGGGGCAAACCCAGGCATGAAGAAGTGAAGACGAGGGAAAGGAACCATATTGACTGCCAATTTTCTCAAATCAGCATTGAGTTGACCAGGGAATCTAAGGCATGTGGTAACACCTGACATAGTTGCACTGACTAAATGGTTAAGATCCCCATATGTTGGCGTTGTTAATTTTAGGGTTCTAAAGCAAATGTCATAGAGGGCTTCATTATCAATGCAGTAAGTTTCATCTGTATTTTCAACTAATTGGTGAACTGATAGGGTTGCATTGTAGGGCTCCACAACTGTATCTGAAACCTAGAAAAACAATATATATTCAAAACTCAACAGTAAAAAAAAAATGTTTAAATACTCAGCAACTGTATGTAGGCTTACACTATTTAAATAAGGGTCTTTATTTTTAAAACTGACCTTAGGAGAAGGAACAACTGAAAAAGTGTTCATTATTCTATCAGGATATTCCTCTCTAATCTTGCTTATAAGGAGAGTTCCCATTCCAGAACCAGTTCCTCCTCCAAGTGAGTGTGTCAACTGAAAACCTGATTTTAAGGAAGCACAATAAAAAAAGGCATTAACTTTTATAATGTTATCATATATAAATTCTACCAACACACAAAACATATTATAAACTAGGTAGTTCCCTAATTTTTTTTAAATTTAACTACTAAATTTTCACACATTAGGCATACAAATACAAGACATTCATTATTAAATTACCTTGTAAACAATCACATCCTTCTGCTTCTTTCCGAACCACATCAAGCACAGCATCTACCAACTCTGCTCCCTCTGTGTAATGACCTTTAGCCCAGTTGTTACCAGCTCCTGACTGACCAAAAACAAAGTTGTCTGGTCTAAAAATCTGCCCAAAAGGACCAGATCTAACACTGTCCATTGTACCTGGTTCAAGATCCACCAGAACAGCCCTGGGGACATACTTGCCACCTAGAGAGGAATGAATTTTCCAAATTAGTTTTAATTTCAAGTGGGTATTGAAAAAAAATGATACTAGATTCTAGATCTATTTGCTAGAATACTAACAGGAAAAAAAAACAACTAGATACAAGCCTGTGCCTACTAATTTACTACATTACTTAATCTGCTAATGATTAGGCCTATATTTTAATTTATTAATTATTATTATATCAGCTACAGAAGCTCTGGTTTAACTAGAATATATCAGATAGCCTATACATTTTAATCTAAATTTAAAATATCACCTGTGGCTTCATTGTAATAAACATTTATTCTCTCTAGTTGTAGATCACTATCTCCATGATATGTTCCAGTTGGATCAATTCCATGTTCATCAGATATTACTTCCCAAAACTGAAACAAAAAATTATAAAAATATAGACATCTAGAATCTAGAAATATTCTTAATACACCAAAATTTGAGCAGTTTTTCATTTAACACAGTACATGACGCAAATTTAAGTAAGAGGTCATCTTGTAATTCAATCATTCATAAGTTCATAGAGAATGCTAGCAACCAGAGTTTCTTCCAGGCATCTCTTCAGGGGGGGGGGGGGATCGAAATGGAATTTAGATCTAGAATCTATATACTTGAGATCTAGAAAATAAATAGATTAGATCTAGATCTATATACTTTTTTAAACATTAAACAGTGTCGTCGTCCCCCCCCCCCCCCTCTGGAAGAAACACTGCTGGCAACAAGGGAAGCAGAGAGGGTTAAGGCAGATTCTAGTTCTTTCAACTCAGGCATCAGGGACCACCCTAGACCAACGGGGAGGGGGTCGCATCTATAGAGTCCTTGCAAACACGTGACCTAAATCACGTGATACCTACGCCCGCCGCCACAGTGGTGTACATCAGACGTAAACACAATCAGCTGTTCGCCAGCGCTGGACGTGTTCACCAGCGCTGGACGTGTTCACCGCATGTAAAGAATCGCGACCGCGGAAAAGGAAAAATACGTTAAAAAACTTGAACTCTTAGGAATTGAAGATCCTTATACAGTTATTGACAGTTTCGTGGATAATATAAATATGTGGCCGAAATTTCTAAATAAAAATACTGTTAGTAATACCGTTTGCGTTTAGAGTTTAAGTAGACGAATCTGATCAAATGCAGTAATATATTAGAGGTTATCTACTGTAGCAAACGTGAGACCACTTAACTCCTACAAAACCCACACTACAACGGCTAATATAATCCATGGAATAACCAATCTGGGTAGCATGTTATACAATTTAAGACCTTATAATCCAGCAGGGAAGTGATCAGACACATTAATACTGACGTTCAACCCTCACGATGGCTGCCCCCACCTGTATCTAGCCCACAATAAAACCAAAGAGGAGTCTGCCCTGCCCTCCCCTGAAAATGTCTCACCTCCGTGATACCCAGCCCCACAGAGATAGTATTTCTTATATAATTTTGACCCTCAGGGCCCAGCAGGGAGAACAAAAGGGAAAGTCCCACTGCTCTCCCCTCAACGCTTCTCACCTCGGTGTCATGTTATGTCATTTATAGCACACACGGCTTATCAGGGGAAAGCATTAAGGCATTAAGAATCTTAACTCTGGACAGCTACACACTAGTATACTAGCTACACACTAGGTGCCAACTGTAAACTATTAGACTGTAGGCCCTATGTAGACCTGCAATTGTATCAATTGTAGACTGGGTCCATTGTTATTATTCTAAACCATCTCACTTATAATGTTTCTAGCTTGATTTGTTTCTTTTATAAACAGTGGATTTAAAAAAAAAATTAGCCTAATCATTAACCAAATAATAATAATGTGGTTATTTGTTGTTGGCTGGTATGATCTAGATTGTACTACTAGGCTACAAAAACTTAGTAGACCAATTACTAGATATGAATTTGAATTTAATTAAACTCAGTCCAGTATCAGATACATATTGCTGTAAAAAGACAACAAAGTAGTTAGGCCTTAGTAATTTATTAAAGCCTTCTACTACAATAATATCAACTACATGCTTGTATAAAGTTTTTACAATTTAATTTAAGTAGCAGATTCTAGATCTAAGTCTAGTCATAAAATCTATTTCAATTTCAGAAAATTTCGTTTGCTAAAAAAATGATTAGATAATACTAATAGAGCGAGATTTTAGATATTAGAGACAATTAAATGCTTTATTAGGCCTATTATGACTACTTTTGATTTATTATGGGTGTATTTTGAATCGAATGTAGATCTAAAGTAATTAAATTTAAGTAAAGAAGTAGATTCTAGATTCTATGTCTACCCAGCGGAGCCAGGTATTAGGCCTACTATTAGATCTTATTATTCTTATTAGCCTATTACTTTTGACTTTGTCTTTTACTACATATTAGTATTTGTGAAGGTCGAGCATATTTGTTTTATTAATTATTAATAGTTATCTTTTATAATTAAAATGAAGTTTATTATTTTACTGTCCTTACCTGAAACAAAGTATCGAGAACTGCATTTGATCAGATTCGGCTACTTTAACTCTAAACGCAAACAGTATTACTAACAGTATTTTTATTTAGAAATTTTGTCCACATATTTATTTATACGAAACTGTCAATAACAGTATAAGGATCTTCAATTCCTAAGAGTTCAAGTTTTTTAACGTATTTTTCCTTTTCCGCGGGTGCGGTTCTTTACATACAGTGAACATGTCCAGCGCTGGCGAACAGCTGATTGTGTTTACGTCTGATGTACACCACTGTGGCGGCGGGCGTAGGTATCACGAACGGACGTGACGTCATGTGAAAGGACTCTATAGAATAGATCTAATCTATAGAATAGATCTAGACTAAGATGTAGATCGATCAAGATCTAGACTCTAGATCTAGATAAGACAAGATATATTTAAGTTATTGGTAGATCAGCTGTCGATATCTAGATCTACCTAGACTGTCCTAGACCTAGATCTAGATCTAAATCTAGATTCTAGATCTAGAATCAATCTAGATCTAGATCTAGATAGATCTTGTCTAGAGATCGATTATGTAAATTTTGGATGTTATTAATTAATGGGCCGTCATTACCTTTGCTCCGATCTGATTTCCACACTGTCCTGCTTGAAGATGAACAATTTCACGCATTTTGAAATAGTGTTTACTTGCAACAGCAGCCAAAAAGCTCCACAAGTAGACAAGGCCTAGAACTAGCTGGGTATTTAAATAATGGCTAAGCGCGTCAATCTAGCTACGTCACCGCGCGCGAGAAAGCGTTGCAAGCAGTTCATGAACGATGCAAAGGCGTTGAGAGAGATGGAAGAGGGTAGGCTCTCTGCAGCAAAGACGGATTTGTTCCTAAAAATAAACAGTTTAGCCGCAGAACCTTGGCATAATTAGATTTAGATCTACACAATATTATTTTTTAAGGATAGTCTATTCAGAAAGAAAAATAATTGAATATATTTATATTCTCTAGGCCTATATTTAATAAGCCTTAACACTGTTAAATGGAGGCGAGCGAGTTGACGAGATTCCTTCCATAATGTTGTTGTCATGGAATAAAAACGTGCTTTTTAGATTTAGACCGTAAAAAAAAATAAAAAATAAAAACTTAAGCCTAAAATTAATTTAGAAATTTTATATTCTTAGAATAAATGCTATAAAAGTTGCAAATCCAGAGAACTTGAAAATAATTTGTTGAGTTTAAGGCTACATTTCTATTTATTTTCATCAAGCCTAAGTTATAACCGGATGTTTCACTTTCGTAAGACAAATATTGATTGGCTGTACAGTAACTTAGTAATCGATAACTATTTGTTTACAAAACTTTGCAGATCAAGTTTTTAAATTACAATGCAAATTTAAAACCCCATGACCTAGTTTTCTATTTTTAGCTTACAATGTGTACAATAAAATCTATGGCAGCCTATCCAATAGCAGGATGCCATGTTTATGTCGCCATTACACGTGAAAACCAAATTGTTTTTGCTTTTTTTTTAATTTTTATTTAGTTACCGAGAATATTATAAACATCAAATACATCCAATCTTTAGTAAAGTCCGAAAAAAACCAGACAGGCAGGATTTTATAACCATATTAATTGTAAATACGCTGTGCATGATTTTTTAATGAATTTATACACCTCTCAAATACCTTTGAGACTTTTCTCGCTGGTGTCCATTAAATCAGTTGCACATCGACCAAACCATCAATGGTTATTTCTTTTTAAATACTTTGGCAAGTAAGACAAACTTTCTTTCGGTATCGCTGTGAGAATCAGGATTATAATTGGGTTGTCAGGGCTAGGCCTAGATCAGCTCAGGGCTAGAAATTCAAATTCTGGTCAAGTGACACTAAGAGGGTATGGGTGGTTTATCATATATAGCCTAGACCTACTGTATTTTAAGGGGTGGTGTTGGTAATGGTATGCTATAGGAATAATCCGAATAGGACAATGTTACACAACACTGCCTTCAATTTTTATTAGGCATATTCTTATTTTCGCGATTTTTTCTTCTTTATTTAGAATTAAGTTTATCGCTGAATTGTGAGGTTCGGGGATGGGGGTAAGAAAATGTGACGTAGAATTAACTCTGTTTTTCAATTGATAAAATGTTGAAAGCCTAAGTCTAAAATATGTTGTGCAAATAGAAAACCGCCCAATTGGGACCTGATGTCAAAATATGGCAGATGAACAAAAGTCCACCTGATTTAATTATATTAAATCAGCTTATATTATAATATATTCATCACGCACAAGTCTAGCCACTCAGACTTAGAATCTATATTTAATTATATGACTGTTAAAAAAATTGACATTGTTAGACTGCATCAAAAATTAAATTACTTTAACTCCTTCATATGCCAAAGACCACAATCAACCCCCGGTAGACATAGATCTGTAGTTCTATTTTTTTTTCCAGATGATAAAAAAATGAAAGGATCTTCTATAGACCTATTACTGGGCTATATAGTACATCTCAGTGTTTCTTTCAGGTATCTCTTCGGAGGGGGGGGGTCGTGGCTCAGGTCTACCAGTACCACCCCCTCCCCTGTCCGAATTATAAATTAATATAGGAAATATTTATACTTTTTTATACGTGTCCACCCCCTACTCAAAAGTTTCAAGGGCATCCCCCCCCCCGGAGAAAAAAGTCTGAAAGAAACACTGGTATATTTGAACCCCAATAAAACCACAGTGTCGCAAGAATTAATTACTAGATCTATTCACGGAGAAATTTTAAGTAAATTGAAAAATCATACAAAGTTAATTTTGCACTGAGGCATTACGATTTTAAAAAATTAATTGTAAATATTATTAGGAAAAAGACCATAAGCTTTCATTTATATAGACCTACAATTATGAACAAATATGGTTGTTGTGCCTATGCTAATAAACTATTTTGTATCTTGTCAAAGTTACTAACGTTTAAGAGAGAGTTAAATTAGTCGTAGACCTAGATTATATTTCATACATAGATCTAATTTAGTTCTTAAAATATTGACCAAGTATGCCGACACTGTGCTTAATAATATATTACTATTTTAAAAAATCGATAAATTGTCTCCGCCTCTGCATCCATTGTTGCTGAAAAGAACGTTTTTTATTGGTTCTTAGGTTGTCGTTATATTTCCCGCGGCACGATTGAACCGCGCGTCTTTGGGGCCTTTTAAATTTTAATAGGCTTTTAGATCTAGGTCTCATACTGGCATTTAAAAGGAGCGCCTTTTTAGATAACTACGCAATATAGGCCTAGTATAGGCGGAGAAGGTTTACACTTCTCTCGGCATTTAAAATATAGGCATATAGGGGCCTAGAATCGTGCGCTTTAAAGATAAATAAAAGAGATGCAGGCCTACAAACTAATTGTAATAAACATGCGAATATATCAGATTACTATAGAGGTTATAATGATTGTTTATTTTTAGTATTTGTAGTAAGAATTAAATCACAAATCTGTCCTTGAGAAATGTATAAATTTAAGCCTGTTACTATAAAAATGAAATCGGTGAAGCGAAATCTTACTGATTGTTTTAAAAAGTTCAAACTGCTAGAAGCCTACATACAAATGTACAATGTATATTAGCCAGACCGACATAATATTTAGGTAGCCTACCTATTGTCCACATGCAAATGACTCGATAAGGAAATGTATTTCGCGGGGGTGAATTACGGCTATTCGATGTTGCGGATAGCCTACAGCTAATACTATAGACAAGAGCTAAAAGTCATTTGTTTTCTGTTTCAGTGTTATGTAAATGTTTAAGTGGTGTTCGATAAATGACGTCACACGTCGCCCCTATATCGCCATAGGTCGTCACAAAAAGACCCCCCCCCTCTCGATAATAAGGTCAAAAAGTTCTCCTTCACCACCCCCACCCCCGTCTACACATTCTAAAGAAAAGTAACACGTTTGTATAATTTATGTCCTTACTACAATCAAAATAATTGCTACGTAAAACTTTCTAAACTATCAAGGGCGCGTAATGCAGTTAAGACTTCTATGAGCTTCATTATAGTAGTTATCCGCCTTGTGTATTAGTGTAACTCTCCTTGGCCACAACTACTATGCAGTAAACGAACGTCACAATGATAGGGGAGGGGGTGACACTCTAGAGTTGATTCGACCATTGTTACCCAACCTCAAGACGCAACTGCTACCATGAGGGGGGGGGGGGGGGTCGTCCATAAATGACGTCACAATCCTAGGAGGAGTGGGTGTGTTCAGATTATGTGAAGTCACATTTTTTTTCATTTAAAAAAATAATAATGTAAGAAACTGAAATGTTAGCCGCTATTTCGCGTTTTAGAAAGATGTCATTTAAACGTGAAAAGAAATTCATACATTTTATATTCTACGTTGACTGAGCTCCCTATCGTTGAATGCCAACGTCATTTAAACAGATCTTTTGAATGTCAATGTCATCTAAATAGATAAACTCTACTTCATCTGCCCCATGCATCTTGGGCAAGAAAAAGGAAAAGGTGATGAATTAGATGTATAGTGAAATGGTGTTGAATTATCAAACACTGCTTGGAGTGTTTATTCTGTTCTACACTGAACATGCTCAGGGATTATCCATAAATGACGTCACGCTTTTTTGGGGCGATTTTTTTTTTACCTCCCCTCTCCACCATCACTCATTGTCACAAAAAAGCCAAAACGACTTTACCCTAAAAAGACGTCAGGCATCAACCAACAAACCAGGGCATCCCTTCACAAAATGACTGGTGTAAAATTAGTAAAAGTGCTGAAGTGTATTGAGCTCAGTGGCGTAGCAAGGTCGGGTGTCACCCGGTGCGGCACTTAATGGTGTCACCCCCCAGAGGCGTAGCGACCCTTTCTGGGGACAAACTTTCAAATTTTCGATTTGCATCCCCCCCCCCCTCAAATTTTCGATTTGCACACCCCCCCCCTCAAACTTTCGATTAGCACACCCCCCTCGAACTTTCGATTTGCACCCCTCCCCCCTCAAGTTTTTCTCTATATATTTTACTATTTTTTGCCTTGGTGTCACCCCCCCCCCCTAAATGGTGTCACCCGGTGCGGTCCGCACCCCCCGCCCCCTTCGCTACGCCTCTGATTGAGCTTACACCAAACAAAGAGGCAACCAAAAATGTATTTAATAAAACCAATGTAATGTTTTTTTTAAATGACTTGGTGTTAGGGAGGAGGACGGTAATATTTTTTATGTGTTTGGGGTGGGAGGGGGGGGGGTACCATGGGGGAAAGTAGTTTTCACAGGCCTAACATGGGGATAAACTTTTCTGTTTCCATGGGAAGTAACATTTTTCTGGTACCATGGGACAAAAGGGGTTAACATTTTCAGGTAACACAGGACTAAAACTAAAGGGGTTAACATTTTCAGGTAACATGGGACTAAAGGGGTTAACATTTTCTGGTACCATTGGACTAAAATTGAAGGGGTCAACATTTTCTGGTAACATGGGACAAAAGGGGTTAATATTGGTACCATGGGACATAATTGGTCAACATTTTCAGGTAACAAGTACAAGAAAGCTTAACGTTGCCTTTTACCATTGCACTTTTCTTGTTCAAACTATACTCCATGTGTCGTAAATAACCGTCAGCTGATTTTGTTGCTAGTGATACATATTAAAAGAATGTATACGTAACGCACACTAGAGTAAAAAACATGTTGCCGTTATTAGCTATTTTTAAAAAAAATCATTATATAGATTTGTGGAGGCATGTCACTGAACTATATTGCTTGTTCTTGAAACAGGACTGTCAAAAGTACATT